CCGGTATAAAAAATGTACTAACCAAAATAGTAAATATAAAATAAGAAAAAAAACTCAAAGCCAATCAAAAAGTGATGCAAGAAAAAAAGGAGTCGCAATCGTAAAACAGCGTATTTTACTATGTTTGATAAGAAAGTGTCAAGAAGAAGAGTGTGCAAAAAAGTTTTTTTTTATACTGAGTTGGAGACGTCAAAGAGATACACGAAACGCCGAGCAATCCGAAGTGTATTCGTCTGCAATGAACCGTACAAAAACGTAACACAGAGATAAATACGACGAATCATCTGGATGATTTTTTGGGCCGACTATGAATGGCAATGAAATAATTGTTAATCTGTGCAAAATACTACAATCCTGTTCGGTGAATGTATAAGTGTGGCACCAGACATCGACCTATCGCTTTCAAATACAAAATATATAATCATACAATATGCTCCTTGTACTTTGAAAATCACACAAATGCAAATGTAAAACAAATACACCAACACGCACATACTCTGTATACAAGCGCACAGTCTCTGCTTAAGAAATGTTTTAGTTTTGTCTCAAGTGTAATTAAGCTAAGATTTGGTGCATCATTTACACATATACATACATACACATTCATCTTTGTAACACTTTTGCTAATCTTTTCACTCAAAAAAAAAAACGCAACCGCATATTCGTTCTGTTCGCACATTCTTGCCTATTGCCAATTCTTTGGTTGGGTTTTGCTGTCAACAAAGTGCATTTAGTCGTCGACCGTACACGTGTCGTTACGAGTGTATAGTGTTTGCATTACAATAGAAAATTTAGAAGGGAAACAAAGAGAAGCTAAGGCCAAAGTACCAATGAATCTCTTTCTTGTCAATCATGAGTGAAACTTTCTTCTCAGTCGGTCGTAAAGTGTATTGACGCTGTCATAGGTCCAAGTTCGTTTGTTCTTTTCTGTGTTATTGCTCGTGTTGATTAAAAATACATTGATCTCTCGGTTTCAATTGTGTGTATGATGCTCAACAGCATTTTTGTATATTGTGTGTTTTTGGCAACACGTTGACTTTTGTTTACTTCGCTTGTCATTCGGTCGGTGATAGACGCAATATGTGAATGGTGTGCGATTCAGTATTGTGTTTTAGTTTGTTACTACTATACTATTTACAATATTCGTCATATGAATATAGCATTACAGTGTTTGTGCATTCTGTTGTTGTGATTGAATTGCTCTATTATCGCCACTCTCATAAAAAATTGCAACTCAAAACAAACGAATCGAGATCTTGTGTGATGAAAATAAGTATATAACGGCAGCATTGATCTTTCTGGATTACACTCATTAAATCACACATTATCATAGAAAAAACATTCAGTTATAATTCATCGTTGAATCGTTTCGCGTGCAATCCCTTACAAGAGATTTACTAAAAGAAAAGTGCGGCGCATAGAAAATTTTCAATTCGATTCGGAGTGCACTGAACAGAGGACGGAAACATTTGATTGTGTATATGGAAATTAAAACCGAATTGAAGCATCATCAAAGACAAAATCAATTGCTTGTAAGTGGTGTGCCAATGCGATATTGTCCATTCCGTCAATTCGTTTTATCTGGTAAAAATCGTCACGAGACGACGGTTTCGCCCAAAGAAAGAGAAAAACGATGCTGTGGTTCAAAAAGTGGTATCACGAAAGATTCATGAACCGTTCCAAAGACTCAATTCGATCGGTCGTTGCAACGGCCGATCCAAAGATAAAATGCAAACGAAAAGTGATTCGTATCATATACGATGGATGTAACGATGATTCGATTACGTGTCGTCATCGAAATAGTTTTTGGTTTATTCGACGACGACGACAACAACATCACCAACAAACAATTCAATCGCCCATTGTCGATTCAGTAGTTTCACGTATTAGTAATATTAGTAAAAATAGTGTCGATTCAAATGTCGTTGTTCAATTGAATCGAACGGAAAAACATGATGTGCATAAACTCCAGGTGTCTGATAACACAACGATAATCAATGATACGCGACAACAATTCACTGATATCGATTCGTCGAATCGATATTGGTGTAGCAATTCTGAAATTGTTCATGAAGATCCGATCAGTTTTGTAACCAATGTGAACGAATACGGTAATGGCGAAAACGACTGTGGCTCGTTGTCAAAGTCAAAGGATCCGAGACTACGTACGTTCAAATTAAGCATCGTACCAGAAATTTGTTGCAACATTTGCAATCCAACTGCTACATCGTTTGATGTAAAACATTGTTTAAATAGTGATTCGAATCGTATTCAAATTCAATACGATAGCGACGGTATCGTCGACATTGACGAATGGCCACCGAAACCATTTCAACAAATTGACTTTCTGCAACAACGCATCAAAGAGCTAGAGTATTTCATATCGGAGATTGAAACGAGAGTGAGAAGCGGAACAACCGAAAAGCAAACACCAACGGTAATCGGCACCAATCAAAGTCCACCCAAGTGTCGATTGTGCGATGACCAACCGTTAACCGATTGGGTCATTGTATCCGTCGATTCAAAGCAAAATAAAACATGTGAAAGCCTTTCGAATGAAGATCGACCCAGCAGCAGCAGCAGCAGCAGCAGTAGTAGTAACAGTATCACCACCCAAGCATCGTCCACTTCATCATCAATTGTTCAGTATTATACAACATCCGAATTTTGCGATCGTAAAACAATCGTAACCGTCCATCAGTGTCCATCGAATTATTCACTGAACCATCGAGGATTGTACGAACGTACCACACAATTCTCCAATCAATTACATTATGGGATAGATGTGTCAAATAGTTGTGCAATCGAACGATTTTTATGTTTTGTCAATTTATTAGATTTAAACATTCAAACTGGAACACCATCATTAAATGCAACTATTGCCGTCGAGGCCATTGACACATTAACATCTTGTACAAGCGATTCAACAAGCATGCAATTCAACAGTATTTCAACATCAAATCGACGTGATTTTCATTCGTCCGACTCGATTTTCCTTAATAAAGATCCAATGTATCCAGAATTTAATTACCTTCTACAAGACCCATGCACGTCGAGCAAACACTCGAATATGCTCACCGCACAAATGTTTCACAATTCATTATCGTCCATTTCGACGATCGATTCGATGAAATCACAATTCGTTGCATCAAAATGCTATTCAAACGAATCGATACCGGAATATTTCGGTTTGAATGAATGTGGCGATATTATTATTCATATCGATCATATTTGCGAAGAAAAAGGTTTTGGCTTTTTGCTGGGACGTAAAAAGAAAATTTATTGTGACATTCCGTACGGTGAAGAGGTGGTTGAAAAACCAAAGTTTAGCCTCAAATTTGCAGTCAAACGACTTTTTACGGCCATGTCAAATACTTTTTGCAAATGTACAACAGTTGTTGGTGAGTCAAACTTATTGTACTTTTTTTATCATTATCAAATCAGGCTTTTATCATCATCGCCCGTGTTACAGTTACTTTGACTTGTTTTTAAATAATGAAATGAATAAATAAAAAAAAACCACTCCGATAAATTCGCCATCGAATCAATTGAATTTATTGTTTAACATAAGTGCGTCCTTTTTGTGACAGTGACATTTCTTTAATTTACAAAATCATTCGGTACATTTGTAAGCACTTGTAGATTCATTTGAGAAATCAACTAATCTACTATAAATCAACGACATCATTTCATGACTATTTAAAATGTGTATAAAAATGCCATTAATTAGTTTGCAATTAACGGCATTGCGCAGAGAGCGATAGAAGGAAATAGATTGTTTGAAATAAAAACTGTTTCAGGTCAAATGGTTTTGATCCAAAACGAATTGAGATATTTGTACTTGAAAAATCCTTCTGCCACATGTTATTAACATCGGCAGCAGCATTTCCTTGTTTTCATGTTGAACATTGCAAATGAGTTTGTCTGATTTTGACCTAGAAACACGAACTAACAAATGCGTTAAGCTGATAGTATAACTATACAATTTTTGTTACCATTTTCTGCTGTAACCAACTAAACAATTACGAACACATATTTTACACAATGGGAAAATGTTGTTCATTTTCGCAACTTGTTGAAATTGAAGTAGCAAAGTCGAGTGGCAATGTGGAATTTCAAATGGTCAACCGATGTTCTTGTGATTTTTTCCTAATAGCCGTATAATCCTATTGTTTTGCTGAAAATGCGGCAATAAAAATTTGGGATTTCTGCACTCTTTTTTGAAAAGAACAAAGAAAAAGAAAAAGGAAGAACTGCCGAGACCACAATCGGTCAAAACCTACCATCACTTGCTTTCTATATCACCTGTATATTTTTTTTGAGCTTCACGTTCCGAGCGACATCTCTATGTGCTTGGCATTGAACTCGCGATCCAAACGAGCACCAAAGGCAATTAAAACATTTTTTTTTTGGTGCGAAAAAGTAAAAAATGTCAACTGATTTTGTGTGAAGAAAAACCATGTGATATGCAACGTCCTCGCAGTTAATTTTGATGACACAAACTGTGCAAAGTAATTTCAATTTATTTTCCATCACAAATTCACTAAATACAAATAATAAATCGGTTTTTGTTCAATTTACACGGTATATCTTTATCGAGCGTAAAATGACAGACGTCACAACAAATGATTCCGTATTCAAACTTCAAACAATTAACATTCTACACAAACTTTTTGTTCTAATTTTCATGAGCACATAGAGATGGCGCCATCATGCAGTTTTTTACATTATTTGCCATTGTAAGTGATGGTAGGTCAAAACAAATTAGATGAGAGGAGCCTGAACACAAACACAATTATTAATAGATTGTTTGAAAAAAACTGCTTTTCAACAAGTGGTTTAGTCTGCATAACGGAAAACCAGATCCCTGATAATGTTGTTTACACTCTAATATTGCGACACATATAATTTTTTTTTACTTCCTTGCGCGAGAAAGAATAACTTGACGTAGAAATGCATTTGTGCAATAATAGCTAAAGTAGTTCATTGGCATTGAATATTGTTTAGGGTTGTTTGTCACCATAAAATGGTTTAAGAGTGCAATTAAATGTTTATCTACTGTTTCGGAAAAAAGCTCATTTCTATTGTATGCAAATTATAAATTATTCTTCATGGTCGTCGTGTTTATTTAATAATCCGATCGCTTCAAATCATAATGTCAGAGAAATGAAAAGTTGACTGTATTTAAAGTTTTTATTGAAAACGAATGCAAAAAATGTGAAACTTTATGATTGATGACTTGTCGAAATCCAGTTTATAAGTGTGTTCAGATACTCAGACATTCTGGCGTAGAAGACGGACGGAAGATAGGAAAAAAAGATGAACAGTATATTTGCGCTGGAAATTCATTCGAGTCACTTGAAAACACGTAATCTATTTATTCAGTGCCCATGATGGTGATAGCGATTACATTCTGATCATTTGATAACTCTTTTTTTTTCAAACATCGGCTGACACAATGTTTACTTTTTAGGTGCATGTTTTATTTCGTAAAAAACCCAATCATTTGAAAATTGCATAAATAAAGCTTGTTATCAGTGAAATATCAATTTATTAAGACCACACGTCAAGCCGAATCGGATTTGGTTTTGTTTTTGGATCTTTTCTTAAAACACATTCGATAGTTATCTACAATGAGCAATTGAAACTACAAACAAATCCTATTGATTTTGAAACAGTTCCGAGAAAAACGACGCAAACATATCTGTTTTCTTTTTTATTTTGTCGAAACTCTGGTAATCAAACACAAGGTTTTCAGTTAGTAAAATGCTTCATATCGTTTAGTAATGAATAACACTTTTGTTGGTTTTTTTTTCCCATTTCACAATTTTCTAGCACTGAGTCTATGTGATGTTGGAGAGTGAAGTTACGAATAGTGAGAGAGAGTGCAAATAATGCGATATTGTTTGTCTCCTTGCCCATTTTATTTCCGGAAAAGTAATACGCATAAAACGAATGAGATAACTAAAATCAAAATGCGCATCAGACATTCAAAATTGAAATTGAATTCGTGTGTTATTGTTGCAACAAATTTTTTTCTTTCATTTGTTATATTTTACTTTTTATGTATATGCAGACTATTGTCTGATTGTCGCGCAAAAACTAAAACCATTAAAAAGAAGAAGTATATCAGACGAGTTCAATTATTTGTCATTAAACTGTATTTTGTATTATCAGAATTCGTTATTGATGAGCATCCCCATTTCGATGACGTATTGCCGTTTGCATGTGTGGCGATGAATTGAAATTGGCCTACATTTTCCTCATGATTTTTGCTTTGATGTCGGCATATTTATTTGAAATAAATATTTATTAATATAACATTATCACATCGTCTGCGAACACTTTTTTTTGTTATTCATAATTCGAAGAGCGTTTGCAAAGTTTTTCCTTGAATAAGCCACACGATAGATAGTGGATTGTATTTGATGTTAATTATAATTTTCATTATTTCGTCTTTCAATCGCAGGTCACCCACGAAACAAAATAACAACAAATGGTCCCGGAGATTCGATTGCTGCTTATGCGCTTACATTGGCAAAAGATCCAACGTCAACGTTTGCCCGAAACATTGAAAATTTCATTGAATGCACAAAGGAATCGCGTGAATCATCGCCCCAAATTATAATGCGAAATATGCGACAATTTATGAGCGGTATGAAAAATTACTTGGTGAAACATGGTGAAGGCGATTTTCAACAAGAAGTACTACGGGCTAGATCAATGCTCAAACCTGATGAATTCCTTAATTTGGACACTATTTTGGAAGGAGTCATGCATCAATTGGTTGTGTTACCTCTACGCGAACATCTTTACGGTTTGTTCGTTGATTATTATACTGGCACCGGCGATATTCAGCTTCTCGTTGACAATGTCAAGGCTTCAGTCGGAAAGTCACCCACCGATTTTGGCCTTCGGGTATGTAACTTAAAAAAAAAATATTATTAATAAAAAAAAGAACTTTTCGATAATTTATTTTTCGTATGAATTTAGCCTTGCATTCAGACCCCATCACCGACTGCAATGCAACGAATCTCGTTGCTCATCTTACGTTTACAAGAAGCCGAATTGCCACTTGCCAAATTAGACATTCTGCTGTCGATTGTCACATCGATTATTGAGGCCACAACAAATACCCAAAGTCATGCGCTGGGTGCCGATGACTTTTTGCCATTGCTCGTGTACATTGTTGCCAAATGCGGTTTTATTGGTGCTGAAATCGAAGCAGAATTTATGTGGTGTCTATTACAACCATCGTTACTTAACGGAGAAGCTGGATACTACCTAACGGCTCTATGTAGTGCTGTTCATGTACTTAAAAGTTTTATAACAAATGAGCAAGACGGTACCGGTTCATTAGATGTAAGTTAATCAAAATCCAGTTTGTTTCTTCAAAGATTTATTCGTTTCCAAATTGAAAAAAAATAAAACATTTTATTCTTTATGTGTCAATTTAGTTTCGGTCATCTTCGTTACCCGCCTGCTCATCTGTATTACGTGTGATAATACCCGACGAATACAATGGCTCATTGCAAACGCGCACGTTACCAATTCGGCCACACACTACAACGCGTGAAGTTTGCCGAACTATTGCTCACAAGGCACGCGTTACGAATCCTCAAGATTATGCTCTATTCAAACTAGTCGATGGAGAAGGTTAGTATACTTTCGTATTTTTTAAATACAATCTTTTCTTCTTATCTCATCCGTGCAGTGATTATTTCAAATGGTTTTTCTTTTTGGTTTTTTTCAGAAACGTTGCTTCTGGATTCAGACTGTCCACAAGAGGCTCGTCTTGCTGCGCGCGGAAAGCCCTGTATGCTAGCATACAAACGAATCGATGCGAAAATTGCATGGCCAACAACATCTCAGGCATTTCAATAAGCGATCATCAAGCCAATGAAATGTAGTAACGATGATGTCAACTTTTCAATGTCAACCATTTGCAACATTCATACAACGTTTTGTTTCAAATTTTGAAGAAAATTTAAAAAATTGCACATCTAAAATATTGTTCTAAATATTCTCGATCAACAACCCTTTGATGTTGTTGATGCCGATGAAAGCACTAGACGAAACAAATCAATTTCGTATTCCTTTTTTATTTATTTTGATGATCAATGAAACACCCACACCCACACCCAGCATATACAGAGATAAAATGTAGTATCCCAAAGCAAATCATTTAACATTTAAGACATACATTCTATATATGTTTTGTAATTTGTAGGTTTTGAGCATGAGACAAGGCAACTTGAATTCAACACATTCGTGATGTAATGTGCTGACTAATCGATTAATATATTTTACTAAATATTTCGTTTTGTTTTCATTTCGGCGACTGAACGTCAAAATTGGCTTCATTTTGTTTTCGTTTTTTTTTTTATCAAAAAGACACACTTTATTTTAACCTGATTTACAAATATTATTTATGAAGAAAACTGTCAATTTCAATATTCGTAATTGATTTATTCATTTATTTTGATTTAACTAATTTATTCCGATCAAAAATTCAATGTAAATTAAAAAGAAAATTTAAAATATTTTATTGGAAGAGTGAAACTAAATATTTAACGAGAAAGAAAAATGTATGAAAAACAAAAGTAAAACAGATAATTCACTGCCTTTTGCTGCGACATTATCACGATTTGATACACACTCACATGGAAAATTTACAAATAAAATTGACAAAATTATTGTTCGATGAACTTTCTCTATTTTTTCAGTCCAACAAATTAACTAATCCAATCCAATTGATGTATGTGTATTTTGATTGTAAACTCAAATAGCGACCAAACATTAACCATTCAATAAATAAAGAGAATCAACAGTATTTTTAAAGCCCATAATATTTTGTACCTACCCCGTTTTTCCTACCACAATTCAAAATCAATTTAAAAAGAAAACCTACCTTTAAATCAAGTCAAAGTCATTTTAATGTGTTAACACTTCATATTTAATCATCTTGAATATACCGTATAATGAAATTTCTTTCCCATTTTAAATTACTTTTAATAATATATTCCATTCTGCGTTCAACATACGAATTATAAATATCAAAATGGTTGAGGATGCAACGTAGAGTATGCTTTTTTCACCGGTCAGTCAAAGATAAATGGAGAGTAAATCTGTTATTTCACATTTTTTTGGCTTGCAACGAGTAAATTGTGACGAAAAACGGTCTTTTATGAAAATGTAGTACTTTTATCTTGTATGTACTATTCATTTTAATCATCTGCTGAAGCAGTTTCTCGTCACTGAAAAGCGGTAAAAAAACATACGCTTACATCTCTCCCATAGATATAATTATTAATGCAATCAATTTGATTAACTAAACTAAAAACGGATATTAATCATTTTAACTAACGCATTTACAATTATTTAAATTATATTAATTGCAAACTCTGTACAATTCTCAATACGAGCTCATAACGAAATATTATCGAGAAGAAGAAAAAAACAGTGTGTCAACATCTTTTTTTGCACACGAACAAGAAAAAAGAATTCATTGCAAATTAAAAAAAAGTAATATATATATATACATATAAATGGTTTGAATATAGAATCAGATCAATTGTGGAAAATAATGCTAAGCATTAACTAAAAGAAAAGAATGTCGATTAATATGTATGTTCTGAGTGTAATGAAGCAAAAAAAAAAAAAATTCGAATAAATAATGATTTATCAAAAAAATATTAAAATGAAAAGAAACGTGGATTTTATTTTTTAATGCAAAACGATTTATTACAGATGAATTTAATTGATGTTAAACACATGGAGAGGCAAGTATCCTAATGAAAGTAAAATTCGCAATTTGATTTAAGTATTGATATAAAACGCAGTATGGAGAAAAGACTGAGGGGAAGTATAGATTCACTTAACTGTTTTAGTTTGTACACTTTGTTCAACAGGCAACAAGTGGGGAAAAAAATGGAAAAAATACACGAATTTGATTGATTTTCTTTTATCTTCAAAAAAATTATAATATATGCTCTTATTTGGCTAATAAAATAGAACTTATACTAATTTCCGGGTAAGTTTAAAAACTATATTCATCGCATATTGCGCGTTAAATTTGCATCTCTCCAAAATAATTGTGACTCCTTAAAAATAAAAATGTTATGACATGAAAAAAAAATTGTGTATTTTATATAGATTTTAGAATTCATTTATTATTACAATAGTTTGTTAATTGCATTTACATATCCAACTTCGATTTTAGCGATGATGATTATATCTGGAAAGGGTGAGTGTTTTTTTTCTTGTTGTTGTTTGAAAATTAATGAAAATTAAATGAGAATGAAATGAAAACTACGGTAAATTTTTTATATTCTTTTCGGATTGGTTTCTCAAATGAAAATGTCCTAAATCTATAAAGATTCGATTTGTTTTTGTGATGACAACAAGAAAAATGAGCGATCTAATATAATTTTTAGAAAATTAATTTCGAATGTTTTCATTACAAATCGAATGGAAAAATGAAGGAAAAACAAATAATGGTGATCTTGATGGTTTTTGTTTTGTCTTACGAAAGAAAAAGAAGAAAAATTGTTTGTATTCATTAAAGTTGAACGTCACAAACGTTCGATAAACCTTTTCACTTTTATCTGTCAAACGTCGAACAAAAAAAATTATAAATTGTATTGTACAACAGTTAATTGTGAATGCTTTCAATTGATTTCAAAACTACGGTTACGCATTGCAATGATGGATTTTGCGTAGTTTGATTTTCTTTTGTTTACATCGCTCAATTGTTCAATATATTAAATTAATTTAAACCAATGTGAGTTGCAAGTTCGACACAACAGCTATTCAGACTAATATCATTCACGATTTGCAATAGCGTTGCGATATCATCATATGTATTGATTTGTTGCGGTGATGCAACCAATCGCACATTTTTACCATCCACATTCAAATAGAATGTTTGATTCTTCAAAATTACAGTTCGATCGAATTGAATGCGAATATTTGGATTTTGACACTTGCGACGGAACATTATGTTGATCGGTCGATAGTTTTGTTTGTCATCCGGATTGATGTTTGGATCATGCACTTCACCAGTGTACACATCGTGATCATTTGACTCATTTTTGTCAGTTGACTTCTCAGGCTCTTCAGACTTCTGCTCTTTTTGCTCCTGCTCTGTTTTTTCACTGCTCTCTGCATCTGTTTCCGATTTTGGCTCAACCTTTGCTTCTTCTTTCTTATCTTCGGATTTCACTTCAGATTCACTTTCTTCTTTTGGCTCCTTTTCATCGGTCGAAGCAGCTGAGTCATCCGCACTTGATTCTTCCTCTTTCGGTGATTTTGTTGATTGTTCATTGTCTTTTGAACTTGTTTCCTGTGTAAATGATTATGATTAATTTGAGTACTATTTTTCGAATGCAAACCAAATATTGTGCTCATACATACCTCCTTAATGTCTTCTGTCTCACTCTTCGCCTTGGTTTTTGTGTCACTTTCTTTTGTGTCAGTTGTGTTATCGGTTTCATTCGGTTTTTCAGCGGCCGCTTTCTTTTCTTCCGTCTCCTTTGACTTGGTATCAGTCGAATTTTTATTAGCTTTGGTTTGTCTCAACGCCAAGAAATGTTTATTGAGCGGTTGTAGTAAAATTTTGTAGTTCCACTCACTAGAAGGCAACTCAATTTTCTTGATTTCATTTCCGATTTGCATGAGACTTAGATTGAGTATGGATTTCTCGACTTTTGGTTGTTCCTCAATCATTTTTATGACATACCACGTCTCAAAGCATGTTATCTTACGAATTCGCCTGCTATTTGGTATGTTCATCGTTACAGGCTCGCTAATGATTCGTTGCTGTGAGGATGGTGTTCGAACAACGGGCAAAGTGGCTTTCGATTGTTGCGTTAGCTTTTGTTGTGTTGACGATTGTATAATTTGTTTTTTGGGAATCATTTTTCCATCCTTTTCCGTGTACACGTATGATGTGACATTGTTCTCTTTCGATCGCGATGAAATGATATTATTGTTGCGCTTTTTGCTCAGCTCACTTTCATAATCGTCTTTTGTAACGACTTTAGTGACAAGCGATGGCACAGTTACTTTATTTGTCGGTTTACAAAGTGTTGAATTCAGAATTCGTGGCGGTTGTCGTAAGATTGCCGGCTTATTTGATCCAATTACACGTGAATGCGGTGATATGGAGTAGGTTTTTGCTACACTACCGCCCGAGCCTAGTTTCGACTGGATCAATTGACTTTGTGCCAGTGGTGATTTATTGATTGGCCTCGTGATTGCCATGGTATTTCCGATTTGTTTGCGAATAATTGTGGTCGGTGCACCAGATGAAGATGGCCGAATTACTTTGTCATCGGAGAGAATTTTTGTGTGCTGAGTTTTGCGACGATTGATATTTTTCGGTGATGATCCATCCTGATCAGATGCTCCACGCCCAAAGTCATCTTCAGATGTTTCAGTGTCGTCCGTGAATTTACGTTGTCTCAGTTCAATTCTTCCATCCTTTTAATTAAAAAAATAAAAATACAATTAAATTTCAAATATAATATTGCCGTTTTAAAATTCAATGTTTACCTTTTGTACAGCGAGTTTGCTCCTTTCCAACAATCGAACGCGATTTATTGGGGAATTTTTGATGTCTGAACCAATTGTGCGCTTGACTGTAAATGAATCATTTGGATATTTTGAACGTAATTTTGCTGCAAGTGCATCGGTGACTGGGCTTTTACTCTTTTTGAGTTGTCCATCATCTTCGCTGCCAGATGGTGACTATATGAAACCGAAAGAGACAGAGAGAAATAAAAATTAATTAAAAAATCTACTCTTTAGATTATTCGAATTTAGCAATCAAAATGATTATTTAACAGTGTCTTATCCAAAGTGTTTTGACAGGTGCAATAGAATCTTCTTTTGAGGTTAAGTGTCAAATAAGAAACTATTGACAAATTACCTCCGAAAATGTCATAATAAAAATAGAAATCTGTCTAAAAAGACAATTGTTTGAAATGATAAATAACGAATTGAATCAAATGACAAGTAAATGTAAAGTGAATGTTTTTTTCCATAAATTTCACACAATATTCGATATACATACGTGTTGAAAGCGCCTCTTAGCGTCCAAGAACAGTTGTTTGCCATGTTCGTCATCAATGTCAATATCAATATCAATTTTTCGTTTGATTGCAACCAAACCGGCTGGTTTTCGTCCCGGTGTACCCTTACCCGAGCCTGGTTTTCTGCCCGGTCCCGATTTGATGCCAACTTTTTGCAGCATACGCTTTTTTAAAGGTCCCTCATTGCGCGGTAAATCATCCGATGATAAATTCATTTCGTCGTCACCATCTTCACCTTCGACATTCTCTTCATCGTCATCTTTGAAACTTAATTTGCTTCCACTTACCGCTGGTTCATCCATATATCTTGGATTTGGTTTTGGTGTTCGCTTTCCCCGGCCACCGCTAGCAATGATTGCTTCAATTTGAGCCTTTCTCGCTTGTTTTCGTTCGCTCAACGATAATTTAACGGGTTTCTCTGCCTTTTCCATGCTTTCATCAGCGACAGACTCATTTTTTCCATCGGTTGGTTTGGTGTCATCCGATGCATTTGCTGTTTTCAGTGGTGTTTCATTGGCTTTTGCTGCCAATGGATTTTTCGGTTTGCGACCTCTTCGCTTCGGTGCGACTGGCGGTGGTGTTGGTGACGTTTCGTCCATTGCACTTTGCTCTATATTTATGGGAGTCAATTCAACAGAACAATTTTTAATTTCATATTCTAACAACAAATTATCGTCTAAATCTAAGTTAACATTTGCATCACGTTGGCTGATGTTTGATTTTCTTGGTCTGCCTCGTCCTCTTACTTTGCCCGACATCATTTTGAACGGTTCATTTTAATTTGATTGATGAAATGTCAAATTGAGTCTAAACGATTTACACACAAAAATTTAATTGTGAATATTCTCTATGCGATTTGTGTGTTGTATAAATTTAATTTATTTTTTGTTTTGTTCGAAAGGTCGTCGCTTTATACACTCTGCCAATTGATTTAGTTTTATTTGTGTTTTGCTTTGAAATTTTTTATATTCGGCTACCTCGTAATGGCTACGTTTGAATTTGATATGTATTCTGTTTGGCTTTTAACTCATTTGATTGTTGTAAATTGTTTTCGAGCAATTTTTCGTGTGTTTTGACTACAAAAATATATGCGTATGAAATAACTTTTGTTGTGTGTATATATGTATATTTATCGTTCTTTAACTCAGTGTAATAAGTTCCCGCGCTATTGATAACTTTACTGTTGAAATTGCTATGAAAATGCTGAAAACCACACGAATATTAATTTACACACACTCACATTAATTCAATGTTCCGAAATGGAATTTTTTCGATGAAGAAATTATAGATTTTTTACAAATTGTTGCAGTAAATTGTTCGTTTGAACTCCAAAAAATATCTTATTTTTGTGAATAGCAACGCGAACGCCATCAAGACTTTTTCTCAACTTGAAATTAGTAGTTTATAATACGAAATAATTATGCCACCAAAAGTCTACACAAGCATCCAAAATGGCGGACCATTTCGTATTTCGTTTCGTTTCGGCATATACCACTAGCGATATCGATTACGTATTCACTGATGCGAACTACAATAAGCATTGACATCGAATGTTTAATGTATGAGAAAAGAAAAATGTCGGCAAAAAATTGAATTTATCACGTAGCCGCCAGAAATTATCTGTGAACACTTTTTTTATCTATCATGCAAATCTCTCAATGTGATTTCACTGAAAAACAAATGTTCAGCACTTTTGTTTTCATCTCATTTTTATTGTGACGTTTTTTTTGTTGTTTTTTTTCTTTCTCAACAGTAATTTTACAGCAGAAACAACAACCCAAACGAACTTAGTACGGGCAGCTTATTCGCCATTTTTACTCACCACAAAATAATATTCGCTATACCAAAGTGGGAAAGAGATGCACTGAATGTATTCCAACCAACAAATCAAACTATAAACAAACTTGAGAATTTAAATTTGTTCGCTTCTTTTACATGAAACAATTTTTACGCAAAAAAAAATCTTCACACAATTCTCATGTAAATAATTACAAATCACAAATTACTTTTACACATTTAATTTCTTCGTTAACTTGCTCTGGAAAATATTTTTTTTTTTTGCTCACCGAAAAAATATTAAAATTTGATTTTCTTTCAAACACAAACTTCTATGTTATGTTTGTTTAATGATCGTATGTTATTGACTGTAAAGCTGTCAAACTTCGTTTGCACAAAACGTTCGAGAATCGATTTGTGTAAGCGTAAATATATTTTTAGTTGACGCTTCGTCTGTTGAGATAGGTGGCGCCGCCTGCTCATTTGCTATACATATATTGAACGAGTCACAGTCAGAATACATAGAATAACAATAAACAACAAATCAAGAAAAGTCATCGCAGTGAAATCAGCAAAAAATGGATTCGGTTACAACTTTATACAGAGACCTTAAAACTGAATGGGACAAATCGGGACCAAATCTACGAAAATGCGGTTCATTGTTGGATCAACTCAAGGTAAGCGTTAAATAAATGCAAAAAAATTGTGAAATTTAACATTCAAAACTAAATAAGCACCTAACCTCAAATAGATTGAGCTGACTAAGCTAATTTTCTTGCCAACTGGTGAAACTGGTGTTTCGAAAAAGGAATTGTTGATTGCACGAGATGTTTTGGAAATAGCCGTACAATTCAGTGTGGCCACCAAGGATGTTACAGCATTTGAACGTTACATGTCTCAGTTGAAGTGCTATTACTTCGATTACAAGTGAGTATTTAATTGTGTCATATACATTGCAACATCGAATCGATATTACTGAATGATTTTCTTTTGGTTCGTGATAGGGCTGAGATTGGTGAATCGTCCAACAAGTATCAATTGCTCGGTTTGAATTTGTTGTTCCTTTTGTCGCAAAATCGAGTTTCCGAATTTCATACTGAATTGGAATTGTTGCCACAAGAAATCATCCAAACAAACGAATTCATTCGACACCCATTGGCACTTGAACAGTGTTTGATGGAGGGTAGGTACCTAGAGGCAATTCACTTAAAAATTGCCTTTCTATTATTTAATAATTTTTATTGATTGTTTTTCGATTATTCCGATTATTTTCGATTATTTCGATTATTTTCGATTATACATTAATTCTAATATCCATACTATGAGATTGCCAAATGACAATGAAGAAAACAGAATGTATGTAAGATAGAAAGAGAGACTGTGTGTCTGGGCGAGTGAGTGAGTGAGAGATTATTGAAAACCATTAGAATGTAAGGCTTGACCACATGTATTTATTGTCGCGACAGCAAAAAGATTTGCTGAAAATTGAGATTTGATTGTGGTGGTAGTAGTAGCAGTGGAGAGAACATCACAAGGAATCAATGTTGTACACACAATTTGTTATTGCATCGGAACGACGTCACAGCGGCAACGGCAATATGGCGTGACGAATGGACAATACTGCGAGAACAGTAGCAACGACAAAATATCACATTCGGGTAAGCATATTCAAATGTATTGTATTATCGCCTGATAAATGCGAAAAAACAAAAGAAATTGCGTGAAGAACTTGACACAAAGTTGCAGGATCGTTTGTTGGCAGACCGAATGGCGTATCCGGAGATCTCCGAAACAAATCACAAACGAATTGTGCCAAGGTAAACCAACGCTCATTGTCATCGGCGGAGCAAAGAAGCGACAAGGTCTCAAAGGCCATCCAGAAACACCACAAACGAATCGCTATGTGCATTACTTCAATCGATGACGTGGATGTAAGTGTTTGGTAGTAGATGAAAATCGAACGAAAATGTTGTGCAGCCTATGCTAGACCGTATTGGAAGCGCCAAACAATCAACCGAAAGCACGATACAGAACGTGTTTGAGTTGTATTGTAAAGATCCTTGCAGAACCAGCACATATAGTTTGGACGAGGAAAAGTAAACGTCGTTTGAGAAGAGAGCGAGGTCGCTTGAAAAAAGAACAACGTCGTCGTTTGGATGCAGGTGAAAACGTCAACAATGCAGCAGCACCAGCCAATGTGAACAATGAAGATGAACTGATACCATTGGTCGCTGACGTATGTAGTACAACAAGAAGAAGGCATTATCGTTGACGATGATGAACAAATGCAAATGGATGTACCAAATCCACAACCACAACGAATGGTTTCAAAGATTGTACGGATAGTTAAAAACAACCGGGCCGGCCGACTTGGAACTGTGATCGTGGTGTGGAATCGGGACGTAAATGCGGGTCGCAACATTCTATATCGCGGTTTGTGCATACTGCGACATGTAGAACCGAATCCCGTTTTCATTGACCAAATTAATACATGAATTTTCTGCTAATTACTAATTTTATAATAATTTCCATTTTTTTTTCTCTATGCACAGATCTTCGCTACAACAATCATCAATCAATCACCAAAATCTCAATTTTCAGCTATTTTTTTAGCTATCGCGATTTCAGTAATGGAAAGTTTTCATTTAAGATTTCTTTTTATAAATGTGGTCGCCTTATTTCAATTTATTGATATATACACTTGTAAGTTACTGCTTACATATCATTTTCACATTATTTTCCATTCTGTTTCATTACTCATTATCATTATTGATTATCAACTTTCATTTTCATTATATGTTTCCGATTATTTGTCGATTATTTCGATTATTTGTCGATTATTTTAAATTAATTCTATTCTTTTCTTTTGTGATTCTCCCCTAGGTAGCTACTACAAAATCTTCAGAGCTAAGGTATTTCTTTTGCAATAATTTTATCATTTATTCGCGCATATTTACCATGTTCATTTCTTATTCATTTTCAGGGTCAAGTACCAGCACAAAGCTACAATATTTTCATGGATCTTTTGCTGGAAACAGTTCGCGATGAAATTGGTGCATGCTTGGAAAGCTCATACGACAAGATTTCCACAAAAGAAGCACAAAAACGATTGAATTTCAAAAACGAAAAGGAAGCTATCTCTTTTGGTAAGAGACGTAATTGGTCTTTAGGTCCGGGCAATGTGTACACATTTGCCAGCCAAACAAACAAACCAAAAGAACCAGTGCCGTCAGTTGAATTGGTTGAACAAGCCATTTTCTATGCGCGTGAATTGGAAATGATTGTTTAATTTAGTTTTATACTTCTATTTTCCTACTAAAAACCATCAACTTATTGAATGATATCATCATCGGCATTAATAAGCGAAATAAAGAGCATTAATTGAGAAAAAAATTGCATTTTTTTGTTTATGCATGGAATGGGAAAATATTTACAGGTTCAATGGTTCATAAATCAATGTGATCCAGCAGTGTAGTTTGTTTATTTTGGAAGGTAACATAATTATATGATAAGCTAAGCTCAACCAGATAAATATGTCAGTAAAAATCATACATGCGCATTGGTCGAAGAAGTTAGTTTTCTCAAGAAATAAACCAGCTCAAACGATTCAAACACCCAAGTGATCACTAGGTATAGCACTTGACATTTGGGTAAGCATTTGAGCATTTGGACTTTCGTCTACAAACAATATTATTATGTTACTTGGTTCGTCTATAAATTCGTCTTCTGGTGGTTATCGGTTTTCGTGTACTTTAATGCGTTAATGTAAAATTGGTGCACTGAAACGAGTATAGAAGCTCTGCGACAAATGACCGTTGAAAAGTTTAGAGTTCTAGTCTTTGTGAGTAATTTCTTATGTTTAATGATGATGTTTCGTTGGGGATTTTGGATAACGAATTCTTCCATCCATATCGCCTTCTATAAATTCCAAATTTACAGGGTAAGTAAATGTGATAATGGGGTAAGTGGCGACTTTATACCGCATCTGGGTTTTAATGTGTGCAAATGAAGACTATCAACTAATTAATAACCGACTTGTTTTTTTTTATTTGTTTGTTTTAATTGCGTCGATTCGTCCAAATTCGCTACATGGTTCAGATTAATATATTCCAGTGACCGGTTCGCGCATATTTCTATGCTTGCCTAAATATGCTAGGTAGCATAGATATCCCAAGCATAGCCGCAAACGCAACCGACGCATCGCCGTTCACTCTATATGAACAATACACATATTCGTTTATGCAGACGACCGTGCGCATACAATATAGCTCGAATCGAATGGCGACGGGTGCGTTGCGGCTTGCGTCTCCGCTATGCTTAGCATAGCTATCAGGCATAGAAATATGCGCGAACCGGTCACTGATATATTCCATCCGATCAAATGAGGTCATCTACTATTTTTATAAAGAGAAGAGAATGAATTTTTTGATTTGTGTCTTTTCAAATTCCCTATTCATACGAATAGCCACTGAACTCGGGCGGATGCTCCCTATCATTACCCAGTAACCTATACAGTTACATATTATCAACGGGCATGCCCGCGATGTTTGAAAAAATTTGAGAGAAGAGTATGACTCTTGTTTGAGTTTTTGCAATTATATTTACCTATTGAATACCACTATTTCGATGAAACCATTTTAAATATTTATAAAAAACGAGTTCAAATAAAACACAAGCGATCAATAGTAGCAATGTTAATTTTGATTTCAGTCAAAATATTTATTAAACTTGTTGGTTTGAAATTGTAAAAATGAAAATAATATTTCTTCTCTTTTTCAGCGGTTCGTTCGACTTTACATGTTAATGTGTGTATGTGTGTTTTTTTTTGTTTATCAAGATCACTCAATATTGTTCTTCATCTAACTTATGTCTTTCTATGCATGGTTCAAACCGTTCTCGTAAAAACATCAGCCTTCATTGTTCTGCAAATACCTTTCATATCAATTCTAAAATAATTATATCTTAAATGAATCCATGCCATTTTTTCACAATCCATATTATTTGCTACTTAATATAAATGTATAAATAAAAAAATTATCTACAATTTCACATTTGGAAACACAACGCCATTTCAATCGTCTTCTGCAAACGTTCAATCAATTATACTGGTTTTCATTTAATTATTTCTGTTCTTTTCATCCTATCAAGTGTTTTGGCAATTTAAAAACAAAAAACAAAGTCTATGCCTTAAAATTACGTTAATACGAGCGGTTCGTCGTCATCAAAACGAGGCATATCGTCAATATTATCCTCACGACTGTTGTGATGATGATGATGTGGATGATCATCCTCGTCACCTCCGATTCTGGTGGTACCAGTTTTGGTGTCATAATGTGAATTGGCAAATCGAGAGAAATTATTGGATAGTCTTCGATGGCGACGCACCATATAAAAGACAACTCCTCCCATTGCAATCACAAGAATCATTGGTAAGATCACCATCCATGCAGATGATTTAGTTGGTAGCATATTCAATAACCACGCATCTGGTTGCACCTCAATATGCTCGATTTCGTGAATTGGCGAAAAGAATCCCTAGGAGGAAGCGAAACAATATTAAAATCATGATTTTAGCTTAGTGAAAAAAAAAGTAACTTGACATACCTGTTGGGTTCTCAAACGAACGCCCATGGTAAATGTTTTGCCAGCAGCTATACTGCCACCAAGATCCTGAGGATTTATCAATGCTGGTGGCTCTTTTACTTTGGTTCTTATTATTGGAGTCACTGAGTCATTCAATACAAGGCCAGGAACCACAATCACTTCATAATAATATCTGAAATGAAATTGCACGATTAGTAATGTGAATTAAATGAATGATGTTGACTTTTCAAGTGACTTACTTTTGCTTGTCGTTATTATCATGCCAGTATACAACGTATGTGCCATTCTTTTCTGGAAAAACTTTGAGCTGACTAACCGGTGGTAGTGAGGGGGCATGTATTTTAATTGTGATTGGTTCGGCATTCGTTGCATTTGTTGAAATACTTATATTGTATACAGCTCCATCGGGAATATCCTTAATTTTATGTGTTATAGTTTTGGTTCCTTTACGTAATACTTCCATAGAATTGGTTGTGTTTGTTATTGTTTCAGTCATTGTGATGATATATGATGGCGGATATTTGCCCAACAATGCGCAATTGTGTTCCCATGTCAATTCAATTTCATGTTGTTCCTTATTCATTGTTGCTTTGACATTGCGCGGTGGTTTTCTTTCGTTATATTTGGTTTGATAAATCTTTGGCGATGCTAATGGTCCGGGTCCTTTTGGTCCAACAATGCCAACGCTTATCAAATACGATTCGCATGGCATTAAATTGTCAAGTATGACCTCAAGTGATTGTGTGGTAAGTCTCACTTTTTCGTGTAATTCATCGAATGATACACCATAGTAAATGCCATATGTTATATTTTTGAATGAAACATTTGGTGCGGACCATTTTAATTCTGGTATATCATTTTTATCGGTGATATTCAACGATTTGATTTCTGGCAATGGTGTTCCAGGTAGGACGCTTGATATAGAAGTCGGTCTTCCGAAGAAATTCTTCTTGAAACCAGACACTTTAATGTTGATATTGACTCCTTGCACCAAATTTGTTACTTTGAAATCGGTTTTGGTGGTTGTTTCTGGCTTAAGCTTTGGATAATTTTGCGGTAACATTGTTTGAATTGAATAACCATCAACGCCTTTGATTTCATTCCAAGCGAATTCGATACTATCGAGACCAATGTGTGTCACATGTAATCCAGTCAAACGATCCATATCCGAAGCCGAATCGAACGTTAAACGTACCAAGAGTGAACTTGGCGATTCATTCTTTGTATTACGTGCACGCACCCAATATTCATATGTTGTGTTTGGCTCAAAGTTTGATTCCAACACAATGACATGTTCAGTCGGGCTGACCTTCACCGAGTTTGCCGAATTCACGCTGATCGTTGCAGCTCGATAGTAAACGGTATATTCTTTTAGTATGCCACTCGTTCGGAGCGGTGGATCCCATGAAATTTGAACACGTGATGAATTCAGTTGGGTTACATTCACGTTGAGCGGTTCACTCGGTATACCTTCTTGTGTTGTTATATTGATGTATACATAGGGTGGATCGACATGATCACTATTCTTTAGACGCACATAGACAGTTATATTATAAGTTGTGTATGGCACTAAATTTTCGAAGCGATGTTGGGTATTCTCAATCCATGTTGAATGATTCGACCAGTTATCTTCATTGGCCAATGAAATCGATGGAAGATATTCGAATTTCTGTGATGCGGCACCATTTCTTGGCATATACCAGAATATTAAAAAGCTGTTGGCGGTCATTGTTCGCTTGTTCGGGAACAAATAGCTGATTTGATAGTAACGATTTGATGTTCCATTGCAATCTGCCTCGTCATCATAGGCAAAGCAATCAACCTTTCCGTCGCACAGTTTCGATTGTGGCAAACAAATATTATCGTTGATGCACAAAAAGTAGCCCGGTCGACAAAGGATCGTTTCATTTTTCTCTGGAATTCTTGGTGTTTGTTTGCAATTAAGCTCATCACTTCCATCGACACAGTGAGTTATTCCTATTTTCAGAGAAGAGAGTAATTTATACTAGGTGATGCGGGAAAAGTAACAAGTAGACAAATATGTTTCTCTTACCATCGCAATACTTAATACGATCCAAGCAAACGCCATCACTTCGGCATCTGAATTTATCTTTGCCACAAGACGGTTTCGGACAATTTGTTTCGTCTTCGCCGGATAAACAATCTTCAAATCCGTCGCACACGTACGATTTTGAGATACACCGTTTGTTATCACACATAAATTGATTTTTGAGACAAATTTCGGTCTCTATCGGCTCATCGATTGAACTTATTGGTGGCGGCGTTGAAATGTTTGTCGCACAGCCAAGTTCATCGGAATTATCACCACAATCTGAAATCACGATGTTAATATTTTGATCAGCCTGTTGTCTTCAAATAAATGTAAATTGCAAAAAAATCTCACCGTTAACACCATCGCATTTCCACCAATGCGGTACACATCGATCGTTGGCACATTGGAACATCCAATCATGACATGTTGGCATTATATTATCCGTTTGATGATTCTTTTCGGTGGCTGTTGATGTCGTACAATTTTCTTCATCTCGGCCATTGAGACAATCTTTGTCACCATCTATCCGGCATTTAAAAAAAAACAATGTAATTAAAACACACAAAGTACATTTAGAATAAAAAAACACTTGGACTGTTGGGAATACATACCACATTTCCATGTGGAGTAAATGCAACGGCCATCACCACAAGTAAACATCCATTCTTCACATGCTTTATTTTCGCATGCATCTTCGTCGCTTCCGTCGGTACAATCCTGATGTTGGCGAAACAATGTTTGATTAATATTTTTATACCCATAAAATCACACGCGTCATCTACACTTACATGTTCATTGTCACAGAGCCACGAATGTGGAATACATTGATGTGAGGATTTGCATGTAAATTCATCCGGTTTGCATGTAATCGATGGTGTTTTTGTACAGTTTCTCTCATCAGATCCGTCTTGACAGTCATCCTCCGAATCGCAACGCCAAATTAAATTGATGCATCGGCCATTGCTGCATTTAAACTCATCGGACTTGCAATCTTCGAATGAGCATGCACCCTCATCACTCCCATCTTGGCAGTCTGCAAATGGGAGAGAGAGAGAGAGATGAAAACATGTTTAGAGGACACATTAGACTTTTAGAATTTCAACTTACCATTGTCGTGATCACATTTGAAGTAGTCTGGAATGCATTTATTATCCGATTTGCATTGGAACATGTGTGGCAAGCATGGATTTTTCGACGATGGACAGATCAATTCGTCTGAATAGTCGCCACAATCTGAAATTTTTCAAATGAAATTATTAAATATTTCTTTTGTAAATTCACATTGTATTTACCATCATCTCCATCACATCGGTATATGTTTGGAATGCATAATTTGTTTGTGCATGCGAAAAATCCGGTAGCACAGGTGTTTGATTGTTGTGGGCATGTTTTGTTTCCAGGTTGCATTGAACCGGGACACAAGCATTCACCATTCGTAGTCAAAGTCATGCCATCGGGACAGATACATGCAAGATTCTTCATTGGTGCTCCAACACACATATGAGAGCATTTAGTCGAATTTGTACATGCATTCGTTCCGATTTGTATACCATGACCGTACACTTTTATGTCCATCAAACTTGTCATATTTTCGGCTATTGGGAAAATCTGAATGCCCAGATCTAAAATGACATGAATGGTTTTCAGTTAGTTTGCTGTTATATGATGAATAACGACCATGTTTAATATACCTTTATCTGCGGAAAAGATAGCGTTTATCTTCCAATCGTCCCAATACATGAGATGCTTATACACGGCCACCGCAAACGGATGTGAAGCGCGTGAATCTTCCTTTAATACTTTTGTAAAGAATTTTCCATTTAGATCGCAGCTTCCGATGTAATCCATCGATGCATCGACCCAGTAAACACTGTGCCAACAAACATAGAAAATGTATTAAAATTCATTTTGGTAATGTTTATCTTGATAAAAAAATATTCTTACCGATCAACTGAAAAATCGATGGTAATTCCATTTGGCCAAACAACATCTCGCTTAGAGAAAAGAACCATCTTATTTGATCCATCCAAATTGGCACGACTTATCGATGGATTGTTGAAACTCCAATCCGTCCAGAATAAGTAGCCTTCTATTGGATGGACGACAATGCCTCTGGGCTTTGGTAGTTTTTCGATGATGGTTTTGCGAATGCGTGGCTTCGATGTTGACGTACTCAACGCTTCGATTTTAAAACGCGTACCATCGACAAAGAACAACAGTTCAGATATCCAATCGTAAGACATTCCTTCAACCGATGACAAACCCGATTCGGCTAAGATTTCAACCGAACGATTTCCATTGAAACATTGCCTTCCAATTTCATCGGTTTGAATATCAGCCCAGAATACACAATTGTTCTTCAAATCAAATTCAATGGCGATGACATTTTTCAATCCAACAACTGGCAACACCTCTTTTCTTCCGTTCAACAATGAAATTCGGGAAATTTTATCGCGTTGTGCAATGATGAGAAAATCATCTGGCTGCGAAATTGGGCAAGGAATTGATGCCGGCATGTATTGATCTATGAAACCATCAAAGCAAACGTCACCTTCGATTTTCCGATAGCCTTTTGTGCGTTTATAAAATTCGCCGGGTTTGCATGTGTCGGGCACCTTGAAAATGTCATCAGGCACAACAGATCGATTGCGCATACATGGTGAATTTGAATTTAATCGCGAGAAGCCATAATCGCATTCGAAATCCCACGAACTACATTTACAAATTTCCGTTCGTTCAGGGCGATTGTAATCATGACCATTGTAACATTTCGAATGTGCGGCACGCCTATGATATGATTCCTGTTTGCCCAAGATACATGGTACAAGCGATTCGCCGGGATTCAAAAAGGATCCAGGGCTCCAATACTTGTCTAGAAAAAAGATATACAAAGAGATAAAATATAATGACTGTATTTAAGAGATACAATATAGTATTGTGCGTAAATTTTTCGACCACTGTCGCACAGTGATATATAATATATATTGCGTAAGAAACTCACAATCATCTGTTGTGCAGTTAGATGTGAAGGCATTTCTCAGCTCGATCTTCAGGATTAGCCACTTGTGTTCATCAGGAAGAGATCTAAGGCAAAAATAATTTCCGGTATTATACAAATAGAACAGATATGTAAAAAAAACACTTGAGTGAATCAAAAAATCAAATTTCGTCGATTGAAATCACTGTGATAACATTTTGAAGTCATGAAATGGAAACAACATTTACTCAAAAATGTGACTTCAGAGGGGAATTACTAGATCAAAAGATTTGTTCAAATGACCCAAGTTTTCAAAACGAAGTAGGAGGCTTGACTATACTCGAGCTGTACTACAACGCCTGATAGGTCACCCCTCTCGGAAATTTCATGTCTTCAAAATGTTACTGACACAAATATTTTATTACCCAAATAGTGTGAATTCGGTGGAATTGGCATTGGGTTCGGTCATCAAGCCATAGACTTTCAAATTATCTGCATGAAATTCATGTGGTACCCATGTTTCACCTTCATCCGTTGAATATAAAATTTCATTTGTTTCGCCTTTCGATTTGAAGTATTTGACGGCAACTAAAATGCCACCATGATCGCCATAATTGAAGAAATAATAGTTGCGCAAAATTTGTGTCCACGTTTGGCCAGCATCACGTGAAATAAATACACACGGATGCCCTTTGAGGCTTTTTCCAACGACTCCGGTGGCCATTATTACACCTGGCGCTGTTTTTGAGCTCATAATCGTCACAGAACGCGTCACCGGATACAGTTGACTAAATTTTTGCGATAAATGAAGGCTACACTTCGTACAGTTAATCGGTTGACCTTCATTGTCGACAGTGGGCGCTTGAATTACTTTCCAACTATTGCCATGATCGAAAGTTATGACCGACACTAAATGTTCTGGCCCAATTGAACTGTATGTCTTCAAACCACTTGGTTGCAAACTGATTTTCGATGCAATATAGATGCCACGAATACCTTCGACTTTATACAAATCGGTGAATGCTTCGTCAGAAGTTTGTCTGTTTCAATCGAAGAAAGAGAAATTGATTAATTTCGACGCAATATATTTCGAATGCAAGAATTTAATGGTGCTTACGTTAACCAACTCTGTTTCCATGTCAGATCCGGAACGTATGAGAAAATTTGTTCCAAACTTGGCATAAATCGAATTTTTGTCATCGCTGAATCCGATTCGGACACGTACAAATGTGCAGTTGTGTCTGTATGGATGGCCGAAATCATGATTCGTCTACCTTCTACGTCAGCTATATGGAAACCCTGAAATGATAAATAGTTTCGTTATAGAAAATCGTTTTAACATTGAACATTGCTTTGATTTTGGTTTACCTTAATTTCGAGTTCAGTCTGGAAGTCGGCTTTCACGAACGGTCCTCGTCGATACGAAATGAAGAGTTGTGTGTTATTTGGTACTTTTCGTGTGGCAAACATGAAATCTTTTTTAATATGGAAATCTTGTACATTTTCAATGAGCAAATTGAACTTTTTCGGTTCATTTGTTAGTAATTGCCCTGCATTCATAAAAATCACCGATGATGAATCTGAAAACGAACAAAAACCAGTCGAAAATGTCAATTAATTTCACATTCGATAAAAACGCAATTTATAATTACTTGTTGGGTCTTTGCGTTCAACGTATAAATGAACCGGCATATTAGCGTCATTGGACGATGACCATGAAAACGATTTCACGAATGACTGCAACATTGTGAATGTCTCGCCAAAATCAACGGTATAGTAAAGCTGTACAAAAAATGCAGTTAGACGTATTTTTGTTATGCTTTTGATTGATTTAACTGAATGTTGGCGAGTTTAACTTACAGTATGATCGGTTTTATCTAATACAAGGAATGTACGCGAATCATGTTCATAGAATGAGACCTCCGATGGTGTAAAGTTCAACATGCGTTGTTGAATTGTTTTTCCAGAATCGACATTCGTAAATATTGCTTTATTTCTTGGATCGGTGAAAACAATCTATAAATAGGGATTGAATGAATAAAAAAAACAGAACATTTGATTATTTGCAGTGAAAAAGTGATAACAACGATTCAAAGCAATTTGTTGCAATGCGGAATAATTTGAATATTTGCTTATACATATTGCGAAATGATCAAACATTGGAACAGCTTTCATTTAAAATTCCTTCAACTTTATTTTCGGCTTGGAATCTGTTATACTCAATTTCATGTTGCCTCTCCATCACTTGAACAAACAGATAATTGCTTTTTCTTATACGCTATGAACCAGATACACGCAGCGTGTAACACGCTCATCGCTACTGAGAATGGTTTCGTTGTTTAAAATAATAATCTGAATGCACTAGTGCCACAATGCACTTAAACTTAAAACTTGAATTAATCCAAATTGAAGCACTTAAATGTGCTCGTCGGTGGCTCGTCGATTTTGAACTTACCGTATTATAACGTGGATGCGTTGTAAATTGATCGACTGTTGAATTCACCAAATTGCCAGCGGTGTCGTTGATTTGGAACATGTACGATTTGTCCTCAAATGAATTGCCATTGTTATACGAAATGTAAACGGATGATGGAGCTGGCGCTGATTTAATGTCCTCCGCTGGACCGGGTGGTGGTTCTCGTGCCAAACACAGCATAACATTCGTTCCTTCGCCCAACCAATGCACCATCAGTTGAGCATGTGAGTCATTCAGTTGATTCATCTAGATAAGAGATGGAAAAAGATTGAATGAGACATAAATCAACCTTGTTAAGCATATTTGTTCATAATACATAAACGAACTAAACAAAATAAAGCGGCAAACATCATAATATCCCTTCATCAAAAGTATACATACACTGTCACACCATATTTACTTGCAGGAAACGATTTTTTCCATACTTTTTCAATTAAGATAAATAAAACTATACTTGAGTATCAACAAAATTGCCCATTGCTCTTGTTTTAGTTGTTGAACTTTAGTTAAATGCGGTTGTATCATGGCAATTTTATCGGTTGAAGTCAGGGCAAAAATACACATATAGTGCAACGTTTCGCGTTCTTTCTTCGCAGAATTGATAAGAAATATTGAACTCTTTTTTTATCGTTCACATAAATGGTGATATATATTCACAAACTTTTGAGTCACATGATAGAATCGGCCAAACATTCATTTTCATACTGATGAATTTGACTTGCAATTATTAAGACAGAAAAAAAAAACATTTCGTTGACGAAGCACTTTTTTTGTATTGACATTTATTGGAAATGATTTCACTAGTAGATAAGAAAACCAATTTGCGTGTAAGCGTTAAAAATTGTAGATAAATCAACTTCGCAGTAAGGGAAAACCCCGACTTTTTCTTTTGAATATATAATGTGGTGTTGAAGAAATGCATTAATTTTGATTTGCGTTGATGGCATATTTACTAGCTTATGCTGTCAATCTGTTTATATTTTCTTAGAATGGTTTTTGCTCTATTGCATAGAAATTTGATTTCTAACATTGATTGAGAAATTCTGAATCGTTCGGTGAACTCGAAAATTGGCAAAAACATTCCTTGGTTTTTTTAAGAGTATTTTTCGATTAAGCAAAAAACTTTTGTCGATAATCCAACGAAATACAGTTTGAATCAAGGCTTGATAATGTATGCTTGATATGACTTTCTACGCGTATTATTACAAATGTGATTAGCGGTATTTCACCGATAATACGCAAAAAGACATATATGACTCGAATTCTCAAAATTCTATGATGAATGACGACACTTTCGCTGATATTCAAACAACCAAACTTTCCGATTGTTTACTTAGTCGTTCATTAGAATAGATGGCTGTATTTCTTTGAAATCATATTTTTTCTTAAATTTCGAAGAAATTAATATTTTCATGCGTCGCCTATACGTACAGTTTGATACATATTATCGAAAGTGCATTTCCGCCCAAAAACAAACAACGAATGAAGTAAACGTCGAACTGTGTCAGATCCGGTGAATAGAAAGAAAAATGTCCAAAAATCAAATTTGATATTTATTGCTCGGTTTATATTCATGTCGATGTGGTTTTTATTTTTAAACGGCAGCACTGAAAACAATGGAACAAACAATCAATAAACACATAGAGAAATGGTTCTGACGACCTAATGAACCATTTATTCATTGCATCGGAATATGCATTGCATGACAATAGAATATGTGTTCGTATTGTTGTTCGTGTATTTGCTGGTCAAGGGATTTATATTAAAACATTTTGTGTAATTGTAGATAGTGGTCGACATTTGCCCACATTTGTCGTTAATTCAATAAAATGGAGTCGACACGAAGCTATAACATCATATATAGGGAAAGATATATAGGCATTATCTCCGCCTGCACCACTTGGAATCGATACCATTTATTTTGGAATCTTTTGTCCAGTTAATCAAATCGTGTCTAAGAAATAGGGCTGAAGAAAATACAATAGGCTGCTAATATCGTATATTGAAAATGTTTGCAAACGTTGATTGATTTTGCAGCAAGACAATGAAACTATATAATTTGGTAGCTTTCGATTTGTACAGCATTAATGAGTGTATGCTTTAACGAATGTTTGTTCATTTTTAACGTAAGATATCTAGATGATGCTTGAATTTTGCCATCTAAAGAAGATAGCTTGATATTTTTATTTGATGTTTTGCTTCTGACACAATTTCTCTAATAAAATTGGTTTTTATCGCTTGACATTGAGATAAGGCTGGGTAATTTTAAATATAAATTGTGGTTATCGGATATCAATACATACTTGAAATGATATAACTCAGACAGACAATGAATTGAACGTTGTTTGTTGTGGTATAAATGTTGTTTTTATTATTTGAAATATCATAACATGTGAAGGAAGAGTAATTTTCTTTTATGAAAATAAACACGTCTCAAATAATAATAAATTAAAAAAACAGAATGTCAATTTGCACTGAAAGTCGATTAAGAGAACTAGTTGATGTTGTCACAAACACATTAAAGTTCAATGAATGCAATGCGACAAAAAAAAAAGACTCGTTGGAATAAGTTATTAATGCAAATTGTATGCAAATCGAACCTCAGACAACAATTGCATATATTTTCTCTTCTTGGCGAGATAATTGAATCGCAAATATCTTGCTGTCGTATGATTTTCTCTTTTTTTGTGTCGTGGCAAGAAATGACGACTTCTCTTTCAATCGAAATAGCTCACATTCGATGTTATTGATCGAAACATTTATTTGCTAAAGAGTAGAAGTGGAATCTTTATTTTAATAAAACAAATATCTATCACCGCTTGACTAGTTGTTGATTAGATTTGAAAATGGTTAAGTACGACAGTGACATCAAAACGAATTGCGATGAATAAAATCACTATTTTGATCGACATTAAATGTAAACACTTTTCATCAAGTTGAATAGCATTTATAAATGTATTGTAGTGATCGATGAACATCTTCTATAAACTTCTTAATAAATATGGTACATATGTCATGGAAATAGCGTAGAAGTTTAACAAACAAATGTATTGCTTACACTTTTGATAATTAAAAATCAATTTTAAATGTCAGTTGATCACATTTAGTTTCCAAAGAATCAAAATAGATTTGAATACTTGCATTGACCTCTGACAGCTGATTCATTATTGTAGATTCAACGAATCGCATAAGCATTCGGTGTTTGAAAAAATAGATACGAATCGCTTTATTCTCTCTCTCTCTTTCTACTGACCCGAACCTGTTTTTATTTGTGATACAAATCAAAGTCAACACTTGCTCAATATACATGCAATCGGCTCAATTCAAACTGGCTCATTCTTCCTGTCGTGCAATAAAAACGCGTATACAGCGAATGAAATTCAGTTTATAATACTTCTATCATTTGAATAATCACTCACCCTGATTTTCAATGTGATATGAAAGTAGAAATGGACTTTGATACAAAAATATGTCGACAAGAAAAAAAAAATGCCATTGCTTTGTCGATGTCAAAATTGAGCCATGTTCTAAATTTATGCCAAAGAAAGTGTTCCAAGTAATGAAAATCAAGAGATACGCAATTTCACTCGCTGTCGGCTATCACAGATATATATATAATATGAATACAGATTAATGACGGCATTGATCAATTTAGTCAATTCGGCAAAATGGCAAAATGACAAAATAGTAACAAATAACAGTTTTGTTGGCGACATTCGGCGACATTCTGCGGTTTTTATTTCTTCTGTTTTTGGTGTAGGCTTGCAAAATATTTGCACACACGCTTCAAATGAGTGACAACGTGAGAGCTATCCACCTGCAATTGGCTTGAATAACACATGACTCACATATATAAAATTGAGTCGCAAAATGCTGTGCCTTTGTTCGAAACGAAATGTCGCATAATTCATATCAATTTCGTTCACTTATGGAGTTTGATTCAATTTGATGTTTATTATTTTATTTTTATTTTTTTTCAAAAAGAAAATTGATGCATTTCCTTTTAATCGACATCATATAAAAACGTTAATGTCATGATGGAAGCAGAAGACGAAAAAAAAAAAACAGAAACGACGAAATGAAGTTATGAAAGGAAATATGATTACTTACCACTGTGGTAATTTTGTTGGTCGTGGTAGTCGTTACATTCACGGTCGATGTACTTGGAGGCTTTTTGGCTGATGTTACTGTGGTTAACGGTGTGTTTTTGGTTGTTGGCGAAGCATTCGCTTCACCGGAGCTCATCTTTACATCTCGTTTGGTACGATGAATAAATGGACCAAACTCCATGGGTGCCATCACATTTGCCGACGATATTTCTTTGTCTGCATGCAACAATTCTGCGGTAAATCCATATCGAGGACTTTGATGGCTCGGCATTATTAACATGCATTGGATGAATAACAACAACGAAATCATTCGTGCCATTTTCGATTTCACTCACTATATTCTTCTCCAACGCAAAGTTCGTCCCTCTGCCGGGCCTCTTTTATCTATCTCACTCACCCACTCTCTGTCTCCCTTGAGTCTATTTAACAAAACTTTTAATTGTGCGATTTGTACAAATCCAAAATTTGTTTTCAATTCAAAAGCACCGTGTACTGCGTCGGCTGCGATGCCCACCAATCCATTGAAAAAATAATGATTTATTTTCGAACCATTAAATGTTTTCGATTGGCATGGATCGTACGATGCAAATTATGTATAAACTATTGAAAAAAAATATCAAAAAAATCACTCCGATATTCAACAAATATGTCAAAAACAAATGAAAGATGAAAAAAAATCACAGTGAATAACAAATGAAGCTGAATGTCTTTACGTTCGAAATTTATATAATTTGAGTTTTTTTTTGTTTTTATTTATCAAAGTTGTTTGTGATGTGTTTTCAACGTATACACACACAAATGAGAATAAAAAAAAATTTCTCTTCACTTTTAATTACGAGTTCTCAACAATGAAACGCCAAATCACTATGTTTGCCCGATCATTGACACTCCGAGAATGACGAACAGAAATAAAAATTTGTTCTAATATCTTCTCGGCGAAATGTGTTTATTTATTAAAAGTGTTTGTGTACGCATGCGTCTTGTGCAAGCGGCATCGGCGAACAGTGTGTTGCCAGCGGTGCTACAGCGAATCTACTATAATTACGTAAATACGTATAATACGTTTCCAGCACTTCGATTCAAATACGAATGTATAATGTGCTTCTTCAACAGCAGTTAACTGGACTGACTTTTTGCGCAAAAAAAAATCGCACTCTCATCACCACAGAATTGCAACGATTCGCCCATTTTGATTTTAGCTCTGTGAGTGTCTGCACGCGTTTTTATATTATTTTATCTAAGTTCAATATTTGTTTGTCTACGTCGATTTTTAAAATTTTGTCAACAATTTTATGATATAATGCCACCACGTAAGGGAAAGAAAGCGGCTCCTAAAAAAGCAGCAACCAAAAGAGGTGCGACCAAAAAAGAAACTTCACCAGAGCGAGATGAAAATGTTGCAATCGATGAAGAAGAACACGAGGTATCTATTCAATCTAACGGTGAATATACCGAAGAGGAATCTAATGCGAACCGTGGAAAGAAAATGCCTGCAAAAAAAGCAGCAATGAAAAAAGAAACCAGAAAAAAAGAACCTTCACCAGACCCAGATGAAAGTGTCATTGAAGAAGATCACGAGGAATCCATTCGATCTAACGGTGAATATTCCGACGAGGAACCTAGTGTGAACCATGGAAAAAAGTCTGGAAAACATTTGAATTTCTCTGAAAATGAAACAGACGAAAAGACTGAAGAGAGTGAATCGGAAGAACAGAACCAATTAAATGCAACACATATAGATGAGACGTCACAAGAGGATGATGAAACGCAATCAGAATCTGATGAACCAATGAAAAAAGGTCCAAACAAAATGGTGTCAGAAAATCCAAATATGCCGTCTTTATTGTCCGAAGATGACGATGACGATGACGAGCAGTATGATTCAAAGCATCAGAATGCCAAAGGTATGTACATCAAATTGTGATTTTAGTCGAAAATGTGCGATAAATTTTGTATTTGTCTTGCAATGTAAAGCATCAATATTTGACACTCCAGATGAACGCCATGATGATGAATCGACCGATGAAGAAAGTGATGATGAAAAACATGTGGTGCCTAAGGTAGCTGTAAAATCCGGCAAGCCAAATGCGAAAGCCAAAGCTACAAAAACAGCGGCAAAACCAGCATCAAGGACCAAAAAAGCTGTCAAAATAGCGGAAACAAATCAGTCAGATGATGAAAAAGATGAAAAACCAGTTCAAAAAATGCCAGCTCGCGCCAATAGAAAGAGAGCCAATCAAGGTAATTGATGATAAACATAAAAAATCGTACTTTCTCAATGTTTCAGGACTTTTTTTTGTGATATGTTATATTTAATAGATGAAGATGTGGATGAAGTAAAGAAGACAAAGGCCGTAAGAGGCGCCAAGGCGAAGCAAGAAGCCAACGTCAAGTCTCAAAGTGAATCGGAACAAGATGAACCACCAAAGAAGATTGACAATACTCGCATAACTCGCAAAAAAATGGCAGCTGAGATCGATGATACGGAGACGGTGAAACGAACAACAAAGAGCGGTAGCACGGTCAAGCCTGCAGCTAAGAAAACAGCAACAGTGGCAAAGAAAACGGCCAAAGAAGTGACTGAGCCAGCGACGAAACCGACAGAAACAATTTCAGGTGAGTTTCCGAATAAAATATGCATCACTATCGTATGAGTATCTCGTTAAAATTGGCAAATTATAAATGGTTTTGAATTTAATTGTCACTATAGATTCGGATGACGTGCAGAATCAGTCCATACATTTGAATATGAAAAAATCATCTACCATTCCTCAGTTCATTACTGGTGCCGTTGAATTATTAGGAAATACAGCTGGAAAGTCGTCTTATAAACATTTGCGAGCCTTTTTGGAGAAAGAAAACTTGTTTGATGTGGAACGACATGAATCAAAAATAAGAAATCAATTGAAAGAAATGTTCGCAGATGGACAAATTGTTCCAGCCAATAAAATAAAAGGCAAACCAAATGTAGCCGTATTATTTAAACTTGGATCGTTGAAAAAGACAAACATGTCATCTCAAAAAAGAAAAAGTATTAAGATGGCAGCCAAAAAGAAAGCTCAGAATGCATCAAAGTCAAAAAAGGCAACAGCAGACGATAAAGTGGCTCCAAAGAAGACAAAAACTACCAAAAAGGCCGAACCTGTTGAGGAATTGGAGGAGTACGATGATGATGATGATGTACCACCGAAAAACCGTTAAAACACAAGTATTTTTATTTATGTCTCAAGCATGTTTTAAAATTTAAATCTCAACTTTTATATTAGAGAAACGATAATAAAAAAATTAAATTAATTGAATTAAATTTTGATAAGAAAAACAAGATGTAAAACGTCGTCCTTTTTGATAATATAAATAAAATCATTTCAACTGAGAAACACGTAAATTGCTTGAGACTTGTTATTTTTTTCAAATACAGACCATGAAACACAGGCTCGATCACAAAATGAAATAAAATTGGTAATTTTTTTATTCTTCGGATGCTTTCGGTTGAATACATTTACAAGGCCAATAAACTGGTATTTTTTTAAATCTTCGGAATTTTCGACATATTTTTACCGTCCATCGTTTTTTAAATGAAACACATATTTTTTTCCGTTTATTTTTCTTCATTTAATTTAATCAATTTTTACTTGGAATATCTTTATCCAGGATTAAAGTATAGTCGAATGTATATTATCCTGCATAATTGCAATGCACATTGTTTTTAAATAGCAAACACACAATTTAACTAACCGAGTTGAAATGAGAAAAAATAGAATATAATTTTGTTTTTGTAAATGCTTTTTGATAAATGTATCTAATGATTTGTTTTTACATAAACAAAGTTCTGTGAACTTTGTGCCTTTGTGCATATATTTTCCGTCTATTGTTGGCATAAAAAAATGTAAATTTGTAATGACAAGGAATTATACAATGATAATACATACAATGAATCCCTCAAAAAAGGCATTACAAATGTGTTTATGTGTTGTGTGCTTGCATTTCGCCCTCTTTGATATAATATAATTATTCATTTATATAAAATTGTAAATCTGGATGCAACATTTTTTTTTTCGTCTCACATGTATGTGTGTATTTTTTTTACATTTATTAATATCTTTACAGTGATTATATTATATAGAATAGGGATTCGGTTAGATTGCAATTACGCGATGCGAATGGATTGGATGATTTGGAATATAGCTGATCCGCAAACAACGAATAAAAACAATGCCAATAGCCAAGGTCCAACTGGATATTGATCTTCCTTATTTTTCTGTAAAAACAAAACAAAACAAAATATCATGCAATTAGTAAAGAGTGAACATTTAAAAAAAATTCAAGTTCATATGAATTATCTGGGAATTAAAAATTTGGTTTTTAATTTCGATTCTGTGTTATTGTTCCATATGTAAAACGAAGTCATCAATAATTTGCCCTTCAAATTGAAAGGAATGCAAATAAAACATTTGAAAAGTAAGCAGAAACACTTGTCTGACGAAAACAACCGAAATTTACAAGTGCGTACGTGTTAAGTTTGCGATTTAAATGAAAACAATACGGTAATTGGATCCATTTTTAACGACGCAATTAGTAAACTGATAGCATCTTGTGCATAAGCCATCAATTCGTTTATTGCGTTCAGCCAATTGCATTTTTTAGGAAAACGAATCAAACTAAATTTCAACGCTTTTGTAGGTGAGCACCCAATATGAAATATATACAATTTAATCTGTTCATTGTCTAAAGAGATAAAATCGGAACAAATTTCGATATGGTACACTTTCAACATTATAACATTCACCTACAACGAAGCATGCTTACACACATGCCATGATATAAACACTCACTCTTACGCATCAGTACATACATACAATACACACGTTCACTGATTACTCCACTAATCACCACAAACGAAAGTTGACACGCAAGCATTCGCCTACTTCCAAAAAATGCATATTATGCAGAAAGAAAGGTAGTATCATTGCAACTGAATCACCAATTCAACATTATCATTTTAAACTTTAAACTTCTATCGCTCGAGATATGGAACAAAGAGGAGATCATTTGACTAATGCTTACCGTTGATTTTGGTACATTTCCTCTTAAGGTGATGTTTTTGCTGGCCTTTTCATTGGCTACTCGCATACGTTGTTTTGGTGCCATTTTCTTAGTTTTTGTCTTCTATTGCAGTTTCAATAAATGCCAAAAAATATGTGATTCCGAGATTCACTCCAAAACTCAAGTGCCGTGAATGCTATGATTTGAAATAAAAAAAAAAATACCAACAAAAACATCAATAATGAGCAACTAAGTGCGTGCGACACACTTTCTACACTATCTGTATTAACAACTACTAGATTTACTTTAACTCAATATTATTATTTAACATTTAGTTTTTTCATTGCATATTACACTAATCTATAAAATGTGATAAAATAAATAAATAGTTCAGTTGAATATATCACTATTTGAACTTAAAATATACATACCTTAGACTGTTTCTGAACAAAACACAACGCGTTCCGTTTACGACTGATGCCGATCAAATGACACTTTGGCCGTCGAGACAATATTATTTTAATGAAACACCGAACCAACCGCATAGAATACAGTGCACACGTAGACGATTGGTGGTGCCACGACTCTATACGACGATACGGCGAATTCAATACTTCTGCCACACAGTCTAGTATGTTCCAGAATTACAATGGCGAAAAAACTACTACTGCAATTCAATTTGATTCAAATTGTTTTCTCTTTTTTATAGTTTTTTTTTTGCCAAAGTATTACTTTCTTTTGGAATAATATGGAGAAGTTCTGAAAAAAGAAATTAAAACCATGTTTAGGCCACTTTTTTCATATTAAGATGTATAAAGATGATTGATAATCAACAAAGCAGGCTTTTATTTCTAATATTCGTACTACGTGAACAACTACATTTACATACATATTCTTAATATATTATAGGAACTGAACCAGTTATGATGTGAATGGATTATTTGAAATAAAGCTGGTCCGCAAACAATGAAAGAAAAACAAAGCTAAGGTCCAACTGGGTATTGATCTTCCTTATTATTCTGTAAAAAGAAACAAATAAAATATGATGCCTTTAGTAAAGAGTGAACATTCTGGAAAAATACAAGTTCATACAAGTATAAATCATCTGAGAATTAAAAATTCCCTACTTACCTCATTCAGGTCGACAATGGTCTAACTTCTATTCATAACTGTATTTGGAAGAGGGAAATGAACCGTCTTTTACGGCGGAAACGTAGCGTACAATGCCGTCTTGAATGCTGGACGCACCTTCCATGAAATTTTTGACAAATTTTGGTGTGCGGCCAGTGATACTAAGACCTAACATATCGTGAAGAACCAACACCTGTCCATCCGTATCAGCACCGGCACCAATACCAATGACCGGCACGCTAACAGCTTCAGTAATGGCCTTACCAAGTGAAGCCGGAACGCACTCCACCACTAATATCGCCGCTCCAGCTATCTCCAGCTTGCGCGCTGTTTCAATTAGCTCAGCAGCTTGCTTCTCGCCTCGTCCCTGAATCTTAAATCCACCAAAAACGTTAACTGACTGCGGTGTAAGGCCGATATGAGCACACACAGGGATGCCATTTCTTGTGAGATGCATTATCGCCTCGCACAGCCACTCACCACCTTCCATCTTCACCATATGCGCACCGGCCTGCATCAGACGTGCACTGCTTTCCAGTGCCTGTTCTAACGATGCATAGGTCATGAAGGACAGATCGCCGATGATAAATCTGCCGCTGTTGCCACGATTAACGCACGCAGTGTGGTAAATCATGTCATCAAGGCGGACGGGAATTGTGTTTTCGAGTCCCTGAATGGTCATTCCCAGGCTGTCACCAATGAGCAATATATCAACGCCTGCATGGGATGCTGTATGAGCAAAAGTCGCGTCATAACAGGTCAACATGGCAATTTTTTCGCCGCGCTGCTTCATGGCTTTGAGGTGTGTCAGTGTGGTGTTGGCCATAATTTGACTCTTTTGAAAAATTGATAATGAATTCTGTAAAATCGACGGTGTTGTATTTACATTGACAGATCAACAAGGGTCGCGCAGCTGGTTTTCTGGCAGCCAACAAATAAAATTGTGCTACAAGTCTTTTATTTAATAAAATAAATAGTTCGGTTGAATATATCATTTGGATGATTTCGTTTCGGGACAAAAGGAGCAGTAAAATTGTACAAATTTGATAGTAATTTTCGATAATTTTGTGTTAGAAAATACGAAAAGAGTAGGAAGATTTCGATTCCTCACACCAAATTTCATTTTTGATATTTTAGTTGTATATTCAATTCCGGATTGAACTGGCAAAAAAGTGTTTCATAGTGTGATTGTGATAAATGTTATTATGTATGTTTTTTTTTTAATTCATCTCAAAATACATCCATTCAATATTGCTGATATTTTAAATCACTTATTATATGAGTTTGAAATGAAAAAAGAGTGAATATGAGTAACTAATAATTATAAGCAGAGATGAACTCATTATCAGTTGACGCTGATGTCAATAGTTCGATAATTCGCAACTGATTATGCGAAAGAGCACACAAAATTGTGACTTTTACATTCAAAAGACTGATGACACTCAATTATTCTCTTTTTTTTGTTTCATGAAACTGTAGCAAAGTAACGAGATAAATAACATTCTCTGTGAAAAGCGGGGGCTACTCTACACTGAATTCATCGGTGATTATAACTTTAACAATCACTTCTATTGATTTTCACTCCAATTGATAAAAATGTCCGCTAATCTCAATTAGCCTGATAAAATCAGCATAGAATAGTCCCTGGTAATTTAATGTTAACAGAAAGAAATTGATTCATGCCAAAAGAAAGTATTAATATCAAGTGAATGAAGAAAGCAAATCGACCACACCGAATAGCCTCCTGTTGCTTTGATTTCATTAAATGTGTGTATTGAATTTTTTTAAAGAAGCACACACATTAATAAATACATACGTTTTTAGCCATAATTAAAATATAAAATCGTACAGAAAAAGAACAAAGAAGTAAAGCAAGATAATAAATCCATACATGAGCATATTTCACTAACAATAAAAAATTCTTTACATCCCAAAAATGTCGAAAATATTGTTCATTTTGTACAGTTTCACTACCCACTTTGTTATTTCTATCAGTTTGTTAAATACATTTCCCATACATACCTTTGATTGTTTCTGAACAAAACTCAAATGTGTTCCGTTTACTACTGATTCCAATCAAATGATACTTTGGCCGTCGAGTTTTGAAACGACACATTAACCGTTAATGAAATACCGAACAAACCGAATATAATACAGTACATACGTACACGAATGGTGGTACTATGACTCTATACGACGATATGGCGAATTCAATACTTATAATTGCTTTCCCTTTTTTGATCAATTTTTTCTGCTAGAATATCATTTTCTTTAGGAAAATAAAAGTGAGAAAAAAATTAAGTCAAAAAATATGTTTTAGTAATTTTTTTCATAAAAAGATATAAAAATGTTTGACAATCGTCAAAGCTCAAAACTCTTTGTTTACATACTAAGTCCCGGCACACTTTATTTTAGTCTATTGCTTGAATTCTATGTGTATTCATAATTTTCGTCAATAACCTCTTCAATTTGAAAAAAATATTGAAAATATTTATTAAAAAAATGTTTTTTTCTTCTTATAACTAAAAAGATTCTGATTCGAAAATTGAATTCGCCATAAATCGTTGATTTGAATTCGCCGATGAATTTGAAGCAGTGGCAGCAGCAGTCGATTGCTGACATCGGGCGAACCGAACACATACTAACCGAATGATACGTGTTTTCAAATTGGTATATATACACACACATGCAATGTGTGTTTGAGACATGAATACAGAGACCAAAAAATATAAATATCAACACATCGTTTATTTATTGTTCGCTGTTGGGTCGCAGAGACATTGATGGGAGGACTGCATAAAATTAGTAGCAGCTGTTTGGTTGAGCAAAATTACAAAGAAAATATTCATACGGTGTAGCTAATAAAGTGCAGAATTCATGAAATTGTCAGAAATTTGCGTGAATTCTGTGCGTTGAGTCACCAAAAAAATGGCATAAGTGTGAGGATATGCAAAATTATCTAATCGATGTTGTGTCAAATGTTGAACGGCGTATTATTCATTCGGTGCAAAAAGATAATAATATAAAAAAGGCAATGGCTGGAAAGAGAAATGAAAATGATGTGAAATTAATATAATTGTGGAATATTATGTAAAATGTGGTTGTTGTCAAAATGAATAAAAAAAGAAATGCTGTAATGCTGAAGTGACAATTTAATCAAAGTGCTCCAAAAGCAAACAAAGTGAAATACACACGCAAAGAGAGAAAAAAAAGAGTTATGTCAAAAAAGGAAGCCAAATAATAAGGCGTCAATAAATGTCTCATGAAAAGTGTATAAACAATAAAAAATTCTAAAGAAAACACTGTTCATAGTCGCTAATTAAAACAATGTGTATTCTAACGAAAAAATGATTGCCTTTATACAAAATTATTATTCAAATCAAAGTGCTGTGACAAGATAGGTTAATTCGAAAAAGGGGCTTGTTGGTTTTTGTTGTTGTCGTTGCACGTCAAAACCGAATTCGAAGAATTCATTGATTTTGATTGAATAAAACAAAACCCAAACCAGTCATTTCAAACACGACTACAAAGAACAACAACGAAAATGTCTAGCCGCAGTCGAACGTTGTCGGTGAATTTGGATGTAGTCATGGCGAACGATCCACTGCGTGAATTGTTCGATGCATGCAAAACGGGTGATATTATCAAAGTAAAAAAATTGATAAATTCGCAAACGGTGAACGCAAGAGATACAGCCGGACGTAAATCAACTCCTCTACATTTTGCTGCTGGTTTGTATATACGCTATTTTGTTCCGCTATTGTTATTGTTGTTGATACCGTCGTTGTAATATCGATTAAATAAATAAATTTAACCGACGAGCATTTCCCATTAAACCACAAATTGACCAAATAAATGTACGAGGGATACGAAAAGAAAAGCGAAGAACTTGTTTTATTTGCACTGCATACGATACAGAGTAATATGCAGACACGGATGGACTAAGTGAAGTGGATGTATTATTATTGTCTATTATTGTAAGCCATATGCAAATAATAAAAAAAAACTTTGCATTCATAAACATAACTTGGAAAACACCAATAATATTGCTTTGCTTAAACAATTGTCCATCCATATTTTTTTTTTTTGCTATATACAAGCAACAGCAGAAGATATTAAGATAGAGTGTTCATTAGACGTAGGATAAAAAGCACATAATTAATGCTCTCTCGCTTTCTCTCTCTTCATCTCACTCAGCCAATGTTGCATTTCAATGGAAAATTATAGCGAATCCGTTTGCATTATAATGGTAAAAGCGTTTCCTCTTCACTTTCGAGTTAATGATGATGATACTGATGATGGATTGAATACAAAAGGCCAAAGATAGTTGTCACCATATTGGCAACTCAAAAATGATTCGAATTAAAATTTATGCGAATGAGGATAGAATGTGAGATGAATTTCAAACAGTCAGCGAATTTTGGTGAATTATAAAAATTGGCATCTCTTATGCCAAAGTATATCAAAATAATATTCGCAATAACGCGTCACCAATGTAGATTATTGGGTCAAACTCATGTCGCAGTGTACACTTTTCTTTTTTTTCTTCCTCTCTCTCTCTCTCTCTCTCGTTCTCTATTGGTTTTTGAGTTGACATATTTAAATTGATATTAAACACGTGTGTGTGTATGTTTCGCATTCTAATTATTCTCTCTCCTTCTACTTCACATATTACTCTGTCATGGCCAATGAATTTGATTGCAAATTTAACTGCCTGCACCGCGGTGAACCAAACATTAAAATTACCTGCAAAACGTTACAATTTTTTTTTGTCGCTGTTCATACAACAAGACAAATAACTACGATTGTACGTAACGAATATGTAAAAATAAAGAAAGAAAAATAAAATCTGAAAACAATGAAGTGTGTGCTGCTTTGAATAAACGTTGATCTCTGAGCAGGTAACTGCAATGAAGCTTAGCGCTTGAGCATATGAAAGTGGTTAAATTCATTATTCACTTCGGTGATTTATGTGCCTTTGCTGCTACTGCTCTATGGACGCGTTTAGTTGTGTTGTTGTGTTTTTTTTTCGCTTCTCTTTTTTTATGGCGTTGCTACTGTGAGTTTTCGACAATTGTGTGAAAAAGCGGCACGAATTTGACCCTCATTCAATTTGACAAACCGTGTCGACTTTTGAAATGGCAATATTTTTCCCGATGATTTTCTTTTGTTTGCTGAACAAAATTTTACTGCGCACTGAATGCATTCTTGTGAAAGAATTGAGATAATAATAAAAAAGTCAACACAGATAAAGATAGAAAGAGAAACATAAATTGTTGGCTCTTTTATTGACCTTCGGAATGACGTGAAACTGCTTCATAGCTTGATTCAACCATTGTGACAACAACACACACATAACTTATATCGGTGTAAGTGTAAACAAGTCAACAAAATCCATGTAAACAACATCCAAGTTGAGGTGGTTTGCCCATAATGTTCGTCGCGTATGACTGCAGGTGAATAATTCATAACCACACAGGTTTGCATTATTTAAACTAAGTCACTCCAAATGCAACTAGAGAAAGAGCAACGGAGTGAGACAAAAAAAAAATAGAGAGACTGAAAGAGAGAGAAAAAAAGACTGGCATTTTTGCTGAATAGTTCATTGGCGTTTTCCACATCGTTAATGTTATTTATGGTACATATACGTTTACTATACATATGATGTGCAATGTTAACTTATGTAAACGATTGCGCGAATAAACATCTATATCGCACACAATTGCCTTCGATTGCTGTTTTCAAAACACTCGATTTGTTTACGATTTAATTGATGCAATTAGTATAAATTGTCTGAATCAACACGGCAAAGGTATTTATCAATGGTGTAAATTGGTTAATTTTGGAAATATATTGCGCTGACATCGACATTAACTCAAAAATGAAAAATGACCTAAAAAAATCAAGCCAAAGAATAAACATTACACACACATATATATATTGAAACAGAACAACTGCATTGCATGGGCTACAAAAAAAGTTGTATTAATTGCTCGCTTTGAGCTATGAGTGAAAACCTCATTTGCAAGACATTGAAATTGATCTCTCGTGGTGGTTTTCCTTTTTTTGCTATTCCCTCGTGTATTTACGTAATTTTGCGAATTTGCTAATAGGGTACGGACGACGCGAAGTCGTTGAATTGCTGCTGGCAAATGGTGCTTCAATACAAGCTTGCGACGAAGGTGGCTTACATCCACTACACAATGCATGCTCGTTTGGCCATGCTGATGTAGTTCGATTGCTGCTCGAAGCTGGCGCATCGCCAAATACAACAGACAATTGGAATTTTAGTCCACTACATGAAGCGGCACAAAAGGGGAAAATCGATGTTTGTATTGGTATGTAATATTTTTTGCAAAACATATTATTGCCTCATTTGATTTTTGAATTTTTCACCATTTGTTTCATTTCGTATTGTTTCTTTCCACATTTTGTTTCGAATTTTCTTGTTTTGAAATAATAACAGCGTTATTACAACATGGTGCCAATCCAAATATTCGAAATTCGGAACAAAAAACACCAATCGATTTAGCAGACGATAACACAAGGCCAGTTTTAACGGGTGAATATCGAAAGGACGAACTATTGGAGGCCGCACGTTCTGGAGCTGAAGATCGATTGTTGGCTCTATTAACACCATTGAATGTGAATTGTCATGCGAGTGATGGTCGTCGTTCAACTCCGTTACATCTTTGCAGCGGCTATAATCGCATAAATATCGTTCAAATTTTATTACAAAATGGAGCTGATGTTCATGCCAAAGACAAAGGTGGATTGGTGCCATTGCATAATGCGGCCAGGTAATACAGCCTTGGATTTAGTGTGGTTTAAAACTGAAACAAATGTGAAAACGAGACATTTTCTTTTCTAGCTATGGTCATTTTGAAGTCACTGAAATGCTAATCAAACACGGAGCGAATGTAAATGCAAATGACCTGTGGGCATTTACTCCACTACATGAAGCCGCTTCAAAGAGTCGCATTGAGGTTTGTAGTTTGTTGTTAAGTGAAAAAGCAGATCCAACACTACTCAATTGTCACAATAAAACTGCGATTGATGCGGCACCAACAATGGAACTCCGTGACCGAATTGCATGTAAGTTTAAATTGGAAACATTTCTTTGTTTTTGTAGCCAAACAACAGACACTGACTGGTGGAGTGAATAATGAAATTTCTTTATTTTTCCCCGTAGACGAATACAAAGGTCATTCGATTTTAGATGCATGTAGGCAAGCGGATGCACCAAGACTCAAGAAAATCTTAACAACCGACACAGTTAATTTTGTTCATCCGTATACATCCGATACGCCACTCCATTGTGCCGTTGCATCAGTGTATCCAAAACGAAAACAAGTCGTTGAAACTCTGATTCGAAAGGGTGCTCTTTTGAATGAAAAGAATAAAGACTTTTTAACGCCGTTGCATTTGGCTGCGGATCATTCGTATTTCGAGATTTTGGATTTACTGCTGAAGAATGGAGCCGATGTAAATGCATTAGATGGATTGGGTCAAACTGCCTTGCATCGATGTGCACGTGATAATAATGATCAAGCATGTTGTCTTCTTCTATCGTATAATATCGATTCAAAAATCATTTCACTTCAGGGGTAAATTGAAAAAGGAATTTATTTATTGAGATTATTTGTAATTTTGTGTTGTTGCTGTTGTCCTTTTTTTAGATACACTGCTGCTCAACTGGCATCGGAAAGTGTTTTAAAAATATTGAAAAATCCACCTGATAATGTGGATTTGGAAGAACAGTTATTGGAAGCATCAAAAACGGGTGATTTAGAAACAGTGCAACGGATTGTTCTTAGTAATCCGCACACAGTTAATTGTCGTGATTTAGACGGTCGACATTCAACTCCACTCCATTTTGCAAGCGGCTACAATCGCATTGCAATTGTCGAATTTTTGCTTGAACATGGAGCTGAAGTGAATCATGCATCAGATAAAGGGGGTTTGGTTCCTATTCATAACGCATGCAGGTAATGAACACTTGAATGTGATTTAAAAATCGAACAAAAATGAAAACGTTACATTCTTTCTAGTTACGGACATTATGAAGTCACCGAATTGTTAATCAAATATGGGGCAAATGTAAATATAGCTGATCTGTGGAAATTCACTCCACTACACGAAGCTGCCGCCAAAGGAAAGTATGAAATTGTAAAGTTGCTGCTTAAAAACGGTGCAGATCCCACAAAGAAAAACCGCGATGGAGCAACTCCATTGGACCTTATTCGTGATGGAGATGAAGATGTGGCTGATTTACTTCGTGGAAAAGCCGCTCTATTGGATGCCGCCAAGAAAGGCAATTTGGCTCGTGTTCAACGTTTGGTCACACCAGAGAATATTAATTGTCGTGATTCACAGGGTAGAAACTCAACTCTACTGCATTTGGCTGGTAATTGTTGATTCTGAACTATTTTAAAGAGAGTATCAAAGAAAATGATTAACGGAAAGTATAAATTTCAATTTAGCTGGATTCAATAACTTTGAAGTGGCCGAATTCTTGTTAGAAAGTGGAGCCGACGTAAATGCTCAAGACAAAGGAGGAGTAAGTATACTTTGACAATCTAACTCTTCTTTAAATATTCTATTAATATTGAATGCTTAGCCTGAATGTTCGTTATCTGTTTTTTCTTCTCCCTCTCACAGCTGATACCACTGCACAACGCAAGCTCATATGGACATTTAGATATTGCCGCCTTACTATTAAAGCACAACACTGTCGTTAATGCCACAGACAAGTGGGGCTTTGCACCCTTACATGAAGCTGCTCAAAAAGGTCGAACTCAGTTGTGTTCGTTATTGTTAGCACACGGAGCAGATCCGTTTATGAAAAATCAAGAAAACCAAACTCCAATCGAATTGGCTACCGCTGAAGATGTAAAATGTCTGCTGCAAGATGCAATGACAATATCAATAAGCAATCAAAGTATCACATCAAACGGTGGACTATTGTGTTTAAATACATCAAAACAAAATCAACAATCGATTTTGGTGTCGCCAACGACAGAAACCGAAATTGTTACATTGCCGACTGGTGCATCGATGACATTATCGGTGCCGGTTCCACAAACACCCAGTCGCTCATGCTTAAGTCCCGCACAAGGTGCTGAATCGCATGTGGACGGTATCAGCACTGAACCAAATGAAACAGAAACAGTGTCTAGCGTTGCTAGCTTTTTAATTAGGTACATAACAACCATTTTCCTGGTGTAATTCAAACATTTACAAAATTATTTTATGATTTTAGCCTGCAATTGGAACAATTGATTGAACTATTTGATCGAGAGCAAATTACGATGGAAATTCTTGCTGAAATGGGACACGAAGATTTGAAGCAGGTCGGAGTATCAGCTTATGGTTTTCGACATAAGATTCTAAAGGGCATTGCTGCGCTTCGAGCCACAACTGGTAATACATTCTCATTTGGTGTAATCGATGATGGATTTTTATCCAAATTTTTTTGTGCGTTTTTGTCGCTACAGGCTTGGGACAACCACCAAATCCAGGTACCCTTTTGGTTGATTTACTTCCAGACGATAAAGAATTTTTAGCTGTTGAAGAAGAAATGCAAGCAACAATCAGAGAACATCGTGATAATGGTCAATCGGGTGGATTTTTCAATCGATACAATATAATCCGGGTAATTTTTATGCACACAGACATTATTTGGTGGACAAATGTTCATATGAATTCTTCTATATGTTGATCAAATGTAGATTCAAAAGGTTCAAAATCGAAGGCTGTGGGAACGTTATGTCCATCGTAGACAAGAGATTTCCGACGAAAATAACGGACAAGGCTATGAACGGATGTTATTTCATGGCAGTCCATTTATAAATGCTATTGTTCAGAAGGGATTTGATGAGCGACATGCTTACATTGGAGGTATACAATTTCTATATTGACCTACTGTCATGTGTCACAATTTTAAACGTTTTCTTCTTTTATTTTAAAAGGAATGTTTGGAGCTGGTATCTACTTTGCGGAACATAGTTCGAAAAGTAATCAATATGTCTACGGAATGGGAGGCGGAATCGGATGTCCAGCACATAAAGACAAATCTTGCTATTTTTGTCCAAGGTAAAGTACAATTATTTTGATTCTTAATCAAAACCGAAGAAATAATGAGACTGCATTTATAAAGGCAATTGCTGTTGTGTCGCGTTGCGTTGGGAAAATCATTTCTTCAGTTTAGTGCAATGAAAATGGCCCATTCACCACCAGGTCATCACAGTGTCATTGGTAAGCTATTCTAAAAATAAATATAAATAGTTCATTATTGACACCTATTGTAAATGGCACTTTACGATTCTCTCAGGTCGACCTTCAGCTGGTGGTTTACATTTTCCTGAATATGTTGTGTATCGCGGTGAACAAGTAAGAAAACTGACATTTCTTCTATTGAAATTTGTGTTATGATTTGTGCATATTTTCTGCAGGCATATCCCGAGTATTTGGTCACATATCAAATTGTAAAGCCAGAGGACACTTCTAGTGGCAATGAAGATTCAACGAGATGATGGACTGTAAATACAAATTCGTCTACAACGAATTCAACACAAGTGATAGGGAATGGTGCATCACGTATAACAAAATCAACTACGGTATCGAATATTTATGGAAAATACAATTATTTGATCATAACGCCAGCGGTGTCAATCGATCAGAATTACGATAATGGAAATGCAAACTACTACATTGAAGATGACGATGACGATGATGACGATGACATCGATATCAATTTGAATGCCACTGCCGCCATCGCCACCACCAACAATAATAATCACATAAAAAATACCGTTTCAAATAAGCGAAACCATAAGAGCTCCATGATAATATTGAATCAACGTTCAAATTTAATGCCAAAACGTACACGATCATCGCATTCGTGGCGATGGTGTACATTACTTTGTTCAGCAATTAAATGTTTTGGCAATAGTACGGGATTTTCGGCAGCTGCCGCCACAGTTGCCGCTGCCAATACAAATTCCTATACAAATAATAATTACGCACGACATTTCCTATCGTCGGAAAATAATGTACACGAATCGCACTGTAAAAATGATGATAATAATATGCCCTACGATTTGTGACATCTTTTCTTATCGTCATCATTGAATTTTTCATTATTTTTTCCCCTCTGATATTTACATTTATATATATATATTCCGTTTCTGTATCATATACGTATACATAACATAAACTTATGATAATGCAATCTCTTTTTATCTCTTCTCCCCCACTATCCATATGTTGAGTATGGCATTTAATTGAAGTTAGAATAACAAATAGAACAATCTGTTCATATCCATTGGTTTGCATTTAGTAACCATATTATAATAGTTATATGCGTTTTTAAGAGAGACGATTGGTATAGATATTCAGTCATTTCGGGTTGAACGAAGTAAAAAAATGAATTTAAATTACTTTTGTTAAGCACAAATTTCTATTTACCTGATATTGTAAATTTGCCAAGCAAAAAAAAGATATCAAAAGACGTTTCCTCATTTTAAATTATGTAGAAGTAGATGCTATGATCTCAAAACAAAAACGTCAAAATTAAGAGAAAATCGATTCGAACTCGATATACTTCTTTTATTTAAAATGAATTTCTTCAAACGAATTCAATTTGCTTCTTCACATTTTAAAACAATACTTTTGACAATTAAATATTGCCAAGATTTTTTTGATTGTAATTTATGTTTTAAATTTTTTTGACCAAAATTATTTTTTAAAAACAACTATCGTTCAAAGACTTTCGATGAGAAAAAAAATAAACAAACAAATTTCCAAAATAAAGTATTCTTGTTAATCGTTACATGAATAGGAACAAATAGATTAGTTATTTAACTCTTGAACTGATTTAGACAAAATTGACTTTTTTCTTATGGCTAAAATTATTCTCTCTGTAAAAAAATTAGACTCTTTGATAAATAAACGAAAATAAAAAATAAAGACGATTTTTTATTCTTGAATTTCCATCATTCTTTGGCATTTCAAATAAAGGTTATTTTCCATATTTTGGCATAGACAACGAAAATTTGACACAATTTGTCAAATTATTTGACGTTCAATCGCTCACATTCTTCAGTCTGGCCGAGCACTTGTTCGCGATAGAAAACATTTGAAATTAACATTATTAGTTGAGAAAACATTCACATAAACATGTCCAGGCTACTTTGGAAGACATTGCGGTCATCGGCAAAGCTCCATTCGTTCAATTCATTTCCTTCAATTGCAGCATCAGAATGTAATTGATTTGTTTTTATTGATCATAACCTCAAAATCAGTCTCTGTTATAGTAAATTCTAAAAAATTTTTTTGAACATTTCAGTGACCAATTCAAGTTCAATAAGATCAATACAACGCTGGGTGGCACCAACAATTGCTGAATTAAATCGGCGTAAAAGAATATATGCCGATAAATTGCCACAAGTTCACAAGCGTTCAAGTTTCATCGATTGGAATTTCAAAGCCGAAATCTATTCGTATGGCAAGCGATTGAATGAGAATTTCGATTTGGCGCTGTTAGAACGTGCATTTGTACAGCGATCGTATGCAATTCAGGAGGAGCTTCGTTGGGAAAAGCTTGGCATTGAGAAAGATGAAATGGCAATCATACAAGACAATCGTGAATTGGCTGACAAAGGATTGAAACTAGCAAAAAACTATGTGGATAACTTTTTACGTTATCATTTGCCACAGTATCCAGACGAAGGAATCGCCGTGCTATTAAATTATTTACTATCGACCGAGAAATTGGCATATATTTCACAGAATTTAGGTTCAAAAGAAATTATATTGGCCGCTGAATATCCACCATCCGAAGAATCATTGGCACAAACACTGCTGGCCATCATCGGTGCATTGGAAGAATCACAAATAGATGGAAATCTTGAACGCCCGTATAATTTTGTGCGTGACTTTATTTGCACACATTTGAATCAAGTCGATATCAATGAAGTGTGGAAAATTGAGAATCCGTTTGAGTTGCTGAAACAAGTTTGTGCACAGAAAAATATCAAAAACATTGAACCACGAATCATTGGCGATTTGAGTAAAAATGATATTTTATCGTGTTGTCGAATTGGCCTTTATGATAGTGATACAAAGAAATTACTGGGCACCGGCTATGGAGATACATACCATAATGGCATTGAAACCGCTTCAATTGATGCTCTTTCGAAAATCTTTGGAACATTCAATTTAAAACCATTCAACTATGAAATCACACCGGCCGAACTGTTCGAAGCGCAGCAAAGCAAATCAAGGCAAATCGCCAATTAGGATATAGATCAACAACTGAAAATTGTTTAAAAATTTATTGTTCGTTTAACATCAAAACCAAAATAGAATAAAAAACATACGTGAAAAATGAAAATTGTTAAAATCTGGGTGTATTTTATTTTGTGAATTGCACAACAACAACAAAAATATTTTATATCAATACATATTTTGATTCTCAATCAGAACAAGTCCACATCATAGTCATCGTTGAATGTGTGTGTGCGTGTATACATATATTTGACATCTATGGATGCTTTTTTAACACTAAATCTAAATAGGTTTCATATAAATTATGTGTAGCATGACAATGATTTCTTTTTATTTTCGAATATCTTAAATTGAAATTGTTTCTGAGTCCATGATGAGTTTTCCGTCTTTGTTCTTCAAACGGACACGTCCATTGGAGTATCGTGTTTCGGTTGAGCCGTCCGGATAAACAATCTTCACCGTACCATCAGGATATTCTCGGCGTTTGTGACCGTTTGCATGGACTTCACGTTGTCCATTCGGTAGCATCAGGATACGTTCACCATTGGTCATTTGAATGGCATTCGAACCATCTGCATATTTCCATTCTTCTTTAATTCCTTCCTGTTGTTCTCTATTTGGATTTGTGATTCGGACTGTACCATTTGGAAAATAAATTTCCACTTTGCCATCTTTGTGGCGATGTTCCGTTTGACCACTGAAAATTAATACAAGAAGAAATTTAAAGAAAAAAATACGATGAGAGATAAGGATTTGTGTTTTACTGCATTTTTCCTTTCATTTCTTGTTAACATTCAGTGGTAAATGTAAATAAGCAACAGCTCTTTGTAAAGTAAAAGAGCCTTGCAAAAATTCCGCCAAAGCATATCTTTAGCGGGGTTTATTTATTAATCATTTGGGTGTCAGCAGCAATGCTCTCACTAAACGTTCCTCGAGACATTTTGCTCCCCAAGACAAGGAATAGTTTTTATGCACATTTTACCACTATACTATCTAATATTATCGATGACATTGCACAAGTGAATTATAAAAAATTCAAAAGTGAAAAAAATGCGTTTTTACTTACTCTGGATATTCGAATATTTCCAAACCATCTAAATACGTAGTTTGCCATGTATTTGTTTCACTATAATAGTACTTGACAATTCCTTCTTTAATATCGGTTTCTTTAATGTCCTTGTTAAAGTATAACATACGAATGCACATTCCATCGGCTGATATTTTCTTTAAATTTCCATTTTGATACCAAACGTCTTTGCTACCGTCCGGATTATCAATGATACGTTTCATCGATGTAGTGTTCAAACTGTCCGATTCATCGCATCTACCAGACACACCTTTATCAAATTCACGTTCATCTTCGGTGTGTTTATTGTTTGCTTTTGAAAAATAATTCGATTTATCATCGTGCGATGTTGAACATTCACTGCCATCACCATCACCTTCCGATTGATTTGAGCACAATTCATACGAATATTTTTCGTCGATTTCACTCTGTAAATTTGGCACACTTTTCGAGCGCATTTGATTCCCCTTCAATGGTTCGCGGTGGCATGTTACTTTGGCCACAACGGTTTTATGTGCATTCATATTTGAGCACTTTTTCACCACTCGTTTGACAGGCTTCTCATTTGCGGCATCCTTGGCATTTTCATGCTGTTGATTATCACGACCATCGTTCGTGTGTGCCAATTTCGAAATACTTTTATTGATTTCATGCAAAACTTTGCTATTGCTTTGTCGTCTCAATCGCATATTTTCCGCTTCCAATTTTTTATTTTCACGTTGCAATTGTTCCACTTCAAATCGAGCCTCTTTCAAATCCTTTTCAACATTCCGCAGTTGTGCCCGAATTCGACCTTGAGCAGCTACATGTTTTTGTTCGCGTGCACCAATTTCGGCCTCATGGTTCGAACATTTTTCACGTAAACGTGCCAGTTCATCTTTTTCGGTTTGTGTTATGGCACGCCCCTCTTTCATTTTCTTCTCCCATTTGGCCTTTTCATCGAGCATTTTCAAGCGTTGTTCATGCATATACATCTCAAAATTTATACGTTCATTTTCCATGCGCTCCTGCGAAGCACGACACTCTTCATCAAATGTTAAACGAATCCTATCGTATTCACGAATCAATTTGGTGAGCTCAGAATTTTGTTCGCGAAACGATTGTATCTCTTTTTCCAAACTGATCATTCGCTGTTGTAATTGGGTTTTTGCTTCGCCATCATGTGTTTCATTGAAATCGATTGCCGTTGCAAGTGCACTTTCTTCGCCATCGGTGCCATCCTCATGATCACTTTTGTTTGAATTCAAATCGGAAATTTCAAAATCTTTGGCCACACTCAATCGATTCTGGAATTTTTGCTTCAGTCGGCGATCAAAGAGTTTTTCTTTGAATTTTTGAAATGAATCGGTTGTTTTGCCATTTGGACTGGATGTTCGTGGCACATCGTATATACTTTCAATCAATTGACTTTGGTCGACTTTTTCAATGGCTATTGCTTTCGAATGAAAACGTACGTGTTTCGATTCATCGCCCATGCTACTATCACTGCTAATACTATGGTGTACATTCTCTTCGTCTTCGTCCTCTTCTTCAATATCGCCAAAATTTTGATTGGCCATATAATGCTTTGGCGATATGTTCACACCAACTTTAAATTTTACCACCACATTATCATCACGTCTAGATCTCTCCATTTCTAATGCACCGTTCGTTTGATTAAAATCCTCTTCGAGCTGCACAAATTGTTTTAATTCATTTATTTCGTCTTGTTGCAATCGTACGCGTTCTTTGGTCGGTGTGTCCAGCAAGAATTTCGTGGTCGGTGACAAAAAATTGGCACTAATCGGTACAATGGATGCTTGCTCTATTCCATTCGCACTCTGCAAAACATCTGTAAAAGTGACAACAAACAAATTAAATGTATGGCCTACTAAAAAAAACAAAATCTATTTAAATCTCGTCTATTTACCTTGATTGCGGTGATGTAATGGTTTATTCACATCGCTGTGTAATACAGACGACGAATTTCCTTTGCATTGTGTGATTTTGTTTGGTTTTAACTTCAGTGACACTGTTCGTGGATTTGGGCGTTTCGCTGTCTCTTTCAATTTCCTGGTTTTTTCTCTAGTATTATGTTTGTATCCACCGTCGTGTGTGTTGTTTTGTTGTCCTTCGAATGTTTCAACTACCCCAACGTCTGCATTCAATGATGCTAATGTATCATTTGTTGTGATTTCCTGATGACGTTGTTTACGTGATTGTTGCGATTGCGCATGTTTTTGCATCCGCCGTGCGTATTTATATTTTGGCAGATTATCCAAGCGAAAAGCATTTGGATCAACTTTAAAGCGATTCTTTAATCCTTCGCCGCGTTTCAAATACGGTCGTTTGGGTATTTGAGCCATCTCCTCCGTCACCGTATTGACATTAAGTGCTGGTGAATGGATCGCTAGATTTTCGATGATTTTTTGCAATTGATTCATGGACGGTGAGCTCAATTCGAGTGGTGTCAACAATGGTTTGTTTTCGATTGATGACGTTTTTGGTGATTTAATCAATTGTGGTGTTTGATGCTGTTGACGAAAGCCAAAACTCGATTCAAGCGAACCAGAACCAATGTCCTGTAGACTGGACTCATCACCACTCAATCCAAACATCGCATATAGTTTTTGCTTTTCCAACTGCAACATTTTCTGCTGATCTAATTGACTTTCAGCCAAACATTTTCGTTGCGATTCTTGCCACTGTCGCAATTCATTTAATTGAGCCAATATCACGCTTTCATCGTTCAGATCATTGTTTATATCATTATTGTTTGCATTTAAATTTCCATCTACCGTTGACACACTCGAGTTGAACAAAGATATATCATTTGTTGTCATTTTTAATACATTTCACATTCACAAATTTACAATAGTTCACATAAAAAAGACAATTTGATAAAATAAATCCTGAAATAATATGCCGTTTTCAAGCAAACAAACAATCCTTACAACAAATTCGTTTAAAATGAACAAAATCAACTATGAAGTTGGCTCTAGTTTGCGCGGCAATACTCATAAATACGATGACGTTTTATGATAGTGGCAACAAGTTGTCAATAGTCAAATGTCAAATACTTTTACTTACAGCAGTAACGAAGTGAATTTGCCACGACAAATCAATTTTATTTTAAATTAGTAAAAAAATCAAATATTCAGAAACAAAAAATGTCTTCAGATTGGGATGAAATTCGACGATTGGCCTCTGATTTTCAGAAGGTTCAATTGTCTTCAACATTACAAAGGTAAAAAAAAGAATTGTTGTACACCGTGGAAAAATCTATGATTTTCTTTTTAACTTATCAATGTTTTTGTTTTAGACTTTCGGAACGAAATTGCGTTGAAGTGGTGTCGTTGTTGATTAAACAAGGTCTTATCAACGTGTTATATACGACCGATGGCAAAGAATACATTACCCCGGATTATTTACAAAAAGAAGTTGAAGATGAAATTTATGTGCACGGTGGTCGGGTCAATTTGGTTGAATTGGCACAGATCTTGAATGTTGATCTATTTCACATCAACAATATTGCCGAACGAATTTCAAAAGAACGTGATGATTTGCATCTAATTTTGGGGCAATTGCTTGATGAGAACTATCTTCAAAAGATTGCCATTGAAATCAACGAAAAATTGTCACAAGAGGGTGAAATATCCGTTTCAGATTTGACCATTCAATTTGATTTACCGTCGGAGTTTTTGTTGGCTCAAGTAATGGAAAAATATTTGGGCAAACTTATTAAAGGACGACAGGATTCAAGTGATTCTCGAATTTTCTTCACTCCAACCTACATTTCGCGTTGTAAGGCGAAAATTCGCGGAGGTTTACTGGCTTTAACTCATCCAACGTCTGCCACGCAAATAATCCAACAAATTGGCATTCAAGAACGTATATTCTTCACGTTGTTTAATGAGGTTGGTGCGGCTGGTGTCTTAACTTCGCGCCAGCACGGTGCACAATATATTCCACATGTTTATACGAAAAATCAACGTGATTGGGTCGAATCGTTCTATAAACAGAATTCCTACTTGGAATATGATGCCGTCAATCGTTTAGGTGTATCTGATGCAAAGGGCTTTATAAAACGAACCGTCGGCGATGAATCGATAACATTCTTATCGAAATGTTGCGTGGATCAACGTATTCTTGATCAAATTGAATCATCGTTGGATGAATGCATTTCGACTGGTTCTTACTTGGAAGTGGGCACGATTCTGCCATCCATTATGACCGAAGAAGATATTGAAGGTATTATTGCAGCCGTTTTAACACCCACCAAGCAAAAGCAAACACTTTTATTCGGAACGACTATTTTAACAACGCAATTTATTGACGGTTTATTGAAACCATGTCATGAAATAATCGAGAAAAATGCGAAACAATCGGTTGATACTGGAAAATATCAACAATACATCGCCGAGAAGATGACAAATCGAAATGTGGATATTGAAATATCGGACCGAAAATCGGATCGAAAGGATGAGAGACGACGTAAAGCGACTGGTGGAAAAGGTGGCGGTGGTACACAAGGCCGCGAAACAAAAACAAAATCAACGAAAAAGCTGTATAGAGCGGGTGATCGTGGGCATCAATCGGATTCCGAAGAAGAAAATGTCCATAAGAAAAAAGAAGGACCAACCATTGAATTGATATCATTGAAAGAGATTAAGAATAATTTGGAAAAACAACTCGAACCAGAAGGTTTGGATGACTTAAGTGGTTTGATTGCAAAACAATATTTACCATCGTTGACAAAACAATCGCTCGAAATTGCTCATCAATTCTATGAGGCTTCATTGCAAAACACTACACAAAATCAACGACAAACACATGCCGCACTACAAACCAAATTAAACGAACTTTTGGTGAATATTCGATTGTATGAAAAGGGACTACATTTGTTACCAGCCGATTTGCAGGGCCAATTGATTAAATACTTACTGAAATCTCATGGCAATGACGTTTGCAATGATATTTTTTTCTATGTTGCCACCGAATGCAATCTTAATTACGCCGATGCAAACTTGAAACCAGAGCAACGCGTTAAAATTACACAAGATTGTGGTAATTTTATCTTTTTCCTATTAATCTTTGATTCTTGAAAATAGCTTTAACCTTAGAAATGAGAAACTCAATGGTTCAATTACAGGTCAGGAGTACAAGTCGGCTTTGACGGCACTCAATAAGGCCGTTGCCGGTACATCGATTGATGAATTCTTAGAAGCAGCTGAAAACGCCCTCGAAGCATGCGGCATGATATTGAAGAAAATTGATAAGAAAAAAGATAGGTACATTCCTTTTATTCTCTGTGCATTTATTTGGTTTTTTGCTTATTCAATTTACATAACTTACAATTCTTCTAATTGTTTTTTTCCAGAAATTTGATAATGTGCCACAAGCATGAATTGCTTCAACAATTATCCGACTGCAATGATCCAGCATTGACGCTTCATTTGGCTGTTTTGGTTATTTTTACCATTTCGACGCAATGTATGCTTCATGCATCTGGAAAATTTGTATCGTCTATATTGAGTTTTCTTCAACCATCGTTAACATCCGAACAAAGTGCTGCATTAACCGAATTCCATGATTTAGTGCTAAAACTATTGCAACGGACAACTGCAACAGAATCGGACGACACACAATTAATTTCCAACGAACTACAACAGAAAATGGAAAAAATCAAAACCATTGCCAACACCTACAAAAAGAACGGCACAACAAATGCAGATTAAAATAATTATGAATTGGTTGACAGGACTCATACACATTTCAAGTGTTGATTATTAGATAACGAATGGTGCAATTTTATTTTTATCGAATCACAAACAAGCTTTGATTACATAGATAGCAGTAGGTAATTGATTATTTTTCGCATGGGTTGAGCTCATTCTTCACTGATATATTAATATCTTATTGTTATGTAAATCATTCTTGCAATTACAAGAAACTCCAATTCTATGAATTTTATACTTGGCAGTTCTAAATAAATCATCCAATTTTTGCAAAAAAAAACAATTGACCCAGTTTTTCTCTCTTCATCTCTTCCACATAATTCGATAGTTTTTTCTGGCGCATTTTACATGTTTTATCCATATGCGAGTAAAGTAAAAATGTAACGCGTCACACCATGCAGACCAATTTACACAGTCTCCATAGTCCCGCGTACGTCATCATTCATTCATACAAGATTGTTGAAATGTTGCGATGCTTGTATTACTAGTGATTGTAGCGCGCGCACAATCAATTTTCATCCATCCTACACATTCACTGTCTGCTAGAGCATTGTCAATCGGGTGATGTTGGATAGCGTTTCATAACTCTGCTGTTGCTTCATGACAGCGGAGACAAAATTACCTTGTTCTAACATTTTTTTTTTTTGCTTCAGACAAACATTAAAAGCATAAAATATGTAAGTGAAATAGAATTTTTTTCACCGTAAATGTTGTGTTTTTCTTTGATTTTCAACTTCTGTACCAGTGACTGTTGAGTCGAGATTATAAATAAGTATTTTAAATTTACAAATTCATCCTGTGATGGAAAGAAGCATCCATAAGTTCCTAATCACTCGAAAAAATTTCGCAATTTCTTGTAAAATCAATAACAGAATATGGAAGTTTGCTTGTTTTTTCTAACATATTGTGAAAAAAATTGGCGAAAAAACCATAAATTCGGTGTATTTCTTCTTTTTTCTGATGTTGATGACGTCAAAGTGGCTTTTTTTGTAAAACAACGTCAGTTTTATCGATTTTCCATTCAAATGACGTGTATTTATTTTGTGAAATAGCCAATACAAACAATCATTTTTTTCTACATCGAAAACACTGTATGGTGTCATAATATAATCAGTGTTCATTATTTTGATATGTATTTTATTCTATTCCGCATCGGAATGACTTTCAAAAGACCGTGTTGTATGTGAATATTAGGCGTCCATAGTTCGGTCATGAATGAAAACGTGTGTTATATGATATCCAATGAAAAGGGGCTAGTGTGTATGTAAACGCTTTCCACTATATCATTTCATCACATCGAGTATGTATGTGTTTGCCTTTCTGTGTGAAATAAGGGTGATTTTCACATCCAAATTACATGTTCTCGATTCGTTGAAATTTCCCTTTACTATGCTGTGGCATATGTCAACAGGTGCCGTAAAGGCTTCGTTTTTTTTTCCTTTTGCCTTTGGCTTTGTAACATATTTCACGTTATTAATAGTACTATTTTTATCTGCTACATATGTAATCATTAAAACAATAAATAAATATGAGTCATAAATCAAACACACTGTATGTTAACACAAATAATTGTAATTGATGTTTGTTTATCGAATTGTGATAAGTAATTTTTGCAAATGAAATCAAAGCCTTAATGATTCCATTTTATTTTTCGAAATAGTTGTTGGTAAACGAATTGCTTTGTGCAACATGCACAAGCAATATGGTAACATGTTAGTGGTCCTATTTGTCTGTGCAATCATTTCAACCGAGGGCACAGATGGATACCTTTCCACTCAAGCGGTTAAGGTAAGTTAACTATATATAGAAATATATTTCTAGTTTTTCATGCCACCACATTTCGCTTCAATTTCAAGGATCCATACTTGTCAGACTTTTTGTTGCACGAGATTGTAAATCGGATGGGAAAGGGTTTGGGCAATGCTGGTGATTCGTACATTGATCCAATGGCTAAAGATATGCCATCACGTCTATCGTTAATGTCACGTGCAACAAAAGATCTTGAAGCCGAGCAGTTGGACTATGATTCGATTTTGAATGGAGAGCACAGTGCACATCCTAGCATGCGTGACCAAGAATACTTGGAACATTCATCGCTTTTTGGTAGGTTTTGTCAAAAATCAGCAACTAGAATTGATAATGGATTCAATTAAAATCGTAACTTAATTGAAATAGGTCATCAGTATGTGACGGGTGGGGCGGCTGAAGTTGGTCAGCATTTTTTCAAGCTTAAACCAAAAACAGATGCTTCACTTCCTGCCTACTGCAATCCACCCAATCCATGTCCAGTCGGTTATACCGAAGATCAAGGATGTATAACTGATTTCGAGAACACAGCCGCATTCAGCCGTGATTATCAGGCATCTCAAGAATGCATGTGCGATGGAGAACATATGTTCGACTGTCCCGGCCCAAAGGAAAACAACAAAGTTGGTCGACCAATCAATTCGGATCTTGAAAGTTTCTTTGCTCAACAATTTGGTGATAAAAACTTTGTAGCTAAAAAATTCTACAGCTATAGGGTGAGTTATGAATTTTAAATTAAAATTTTTTTTATTTTTTTCTTTCGTTGATTTTCATTTGGATTTGCTTCTTATTGAATTAAAATTCCTTTGACAAATAGGATCCGAATCCATTTTTGACGGGTGAAAAGCTTCCGATTGCAGCAAAAAAGGGCCACTATTACTACTAAACAAAATTACTCTGAATATCTGATGCTATGACCACACGGCGCGCTCCCAAAGGACAACGATTTTCCATATACGATATAAATTAATCTGGACTAATTGATGACGACCATTGGCTTTTCTTAAAACAGGTTTACGATGTCTGCTCTCAACGATATTTTCGTTTTATTTAAATTAGATTTAAGTAAATTAGTCATAATTATATACATATATTCTATAAAGTATATAACCAGTATGAAAAATTATAATCAATATTAATCATAAAATGAAAGATTCACATTCATAGACCATGGCTAAATACACGCAAATGTGCTGCGTTTGTTTTGCATTTTTCAAATGTTGACCGATGCATCATTTTCACCTGTATATAGCCATGATCCACATTCTACGCTTGCATTGTATAGTATTTATATAACTGTGTACTCCAATGAAACTATTTTTTGATGAGAAGAAATCATCAATTTATACATCGACATTATCAGTTAAAATGTTGATAGTGTAATTAAGAGAGTACACAAAATTGATTTTTCTTTTTAAAAAAAAATCAAATTACACTGCGATTTTAATTCCAAAGAAAAACAACATTTGATGGAAGTTGGAAAAAACGCACGTTATTTTTGACTAAACAACTTTATAAAACACTTTCGGTAAAAGAAAAGAAACGACACTCTTCATTCTAATGAAAATGAACGAAAGAAGAATTGACATGTTGTTTACAAATTTACGGAAACTTGAAAATAAATAAACAACCAGAACAATGTTGATAGTACATATTATTGAAGGCTTTCCAGCAAGATAAAATAGATGCGATAAGAAAATGTTTGCCACTTTCAATAATCGAGCAAATTTTTTCCATCAACAAATTTCGCACAATGACATCAAAATAAAAATGTTGTTGATGGATTTTCGAGGTAATTCGAAAACATTTTGACACATTCATGCAAATGTGTCATTATGGCAACGGTAATTGTTTCTAACATCTACTTCGTGCTCACAACAGTTACAGCACATATGCGATTTGAGCCACGCACATTGTGTAACAACGTCATCCGTGATTTGTGCAGCACGATACATAAATTTATTTTATAATTTCGGTATGATTTGATGAGATCCGACCGTTACCGTTGCAATTTAATCTCATCTTTTAAGAATTTTGATTTGTCAATTTTTCATGTCTCTATTTCTATCATTTGCGTTGAACGTTCGAATTTTTACTATAATTTTCTTATCATTTAACGGCAATTAATAAATTGCCACATACGACAAATTTGCAACTCGAATTTTCACATTCAATCAAGTGCTCGCTATCAGTAAACAACACAATTTATTATTTCTTCAACTGTTTGTGTTCACAAATATGTGAAAATTCGACATCCAAATTTTGGTCGAATTTCGAATTTAGGTTAACTGTTTTCAAAAAAAAAAAAAAAAAACCAGCCAAACCAAAAAAAAATCTCTTTTATTTTCATTCGATTTACTTTATTGGTTTAACATTTTCTTTAATTTTTGGCTCATTCCGTTGTGATTGGCTTGACCATCGCCAAAAAATCCAACGAAAGCATTACTAAATGCACTGACGTTACACAAAAAACAAAAAAATGACCCAAACACAAATAAGCATCGACAAAGGAAATATGATTGGAAAATGAAATCTCAACACTTTAAATGAACCACAAAATAGTGGCCACATTAAGGGAAAAACAAGCATTAACATCAAATCATGTGTAGAAAAATTAGCCGTAAAACTAATTATCACACAACATAACACGAACGACATCAAAACTTTGATGAAATTCGATTATTCCTTCTATTATTATGATAAAAAAAGAGCCATCTTGATATTTGATATCCGTCTTTTCACCATATTTATGTTAAGAAAATTTAATTTTAAATAATTGTATTTTTGTTTCGTCCTTCAAGTTCATTGGAATTGATCTATGTCAAAAATAATGTCCATCTTTTGATTGTCCTCCTTCCCATTTCTGAGGCCAGTTAGATGAATTCCAATGAAATTGGGAATACACATCATTCTTCATTTGTTTAAATCGGAAAGTTTTTCGAAATTTCAATTCACTTACCAAACAAAATGTGAAAAAAGAAACAACAACATATTTTCAATTTTCGAAGTGACTGAATGATATTTAGTTTATATATCAAGCCAAATAGAGGATGATCTTGAACAATTTACCCAACACAATATGTTCTATTTTATTCAAAATACACATAAATTTATTCCAAAATTGACGATAATATATTTGCAAAGAAAAAAAATCGGTTATTGTATGCACGCACTGCATGCATGGCTTAAAGAAATTCAAATCGCGCATATTTGGAATGAATATTTACAAATACAAATATAAAATAAATAATAATCAAACAATCCAAAATATATAATGTTATTATAACAAGAATTAGAATACATATGCTTTTATGTATATATTTATATACCAATATCAATTTCCAACCAGTTAAATTTATACTAAAATACATATTTTACTCAATTGCAACAACACATTTTTATTGTAATTTCTCACCAATTTTATTTTGACTTTGTTCATCTTATAAAACATATTAAATGTTATAGTTAACTCAATGTTTGTCTAAATGTTCATATATGTGTATATTGTCATTAATGGATTTATTAAAGTTTATTTCACAAAAAAGCCTCTACTTTTTGAACTCTTTATTAAATGTATGCTTAACTCCAATTCAACGAATATAAGAACACAGCACGTACACATACAAAATAGAGCATAATTCAAATGCCAGAAAATAGATTCTTTAAAGAAAAAGGTAAATATATAGCCAAGTGGATGGCTCTAAGAAGAGACACATTGCGAATGGTTAACATTAATGCCATCTGTTGGCTTGGAGAGATGGGAGAGATTGTGACATTTTTGACGAAATGTATTTTACGTATTCATGTTTTTGGCAAGTCATTTGTCAATTTGGAACGTCCTGTTTCAATATCAATCAAATCACCAACCCATTTGTTAGGTTACATAAAATATTTAAAAACAAACATAAAACAATACACAGCTTTTGGTAAAAAACAAAATAAAGAGATAAAATAAACTTAAAGAATAAATTACTGATAAAAAATATATCAGTCTAATATTTATTTCTCACCATTTTTATAACGCTATTTACAGCGACTTCAAAATGCGAAAAATGACGAAATGTCATAAATCTAAATTGACAAATGACTTGTCAAAAACATGAATACGTAAAATACATTACGTAAATTTTGTTGCAGACGTCGGAGAAAAATAATATTTCATCATTTTCATCATAAAAAAAATATAGTTTTGTTCAAAAATTCAAATAAAATCAAATTTAAAAAATATATTATTATTATAAAGGAAAAATATATTACTTAAAATAAAAATAAATAATAAATATGTGCATTTGTGTTACGTTACATAGAGCAAATTTGTTTACATGCTAGAGATGTAAATTTAGTTGAGGGATGTCAGGTATGATGGCGCTGATTAGCGAGACTCGCATAAAAAAGTCTCCAATCTCATATATGTCTCATCCACGTGTATATAGCTTAAGGCATCAAGAAGGAGGTGGCTGCCAAATTGAAGAGTGAACTTTGAAAATAGCTCAAAATTAACGACCAAAGGATACCATTCGAAGTCAGATTAAAAATCAGCTGATTATTCCATGGTTGTAAAGTTATCAAATTGCAAACTTCGCTTAAATTTGACATGAAGTGTGTTTTCATATTTTTATCACTGAAGCCTCCATTGTGTTTAAACACTAATAATAATTATTAATTTGGATAATTTCAATTTCAACACATGATATTTTATTTAAAAAAGCCGAGAAGGGAATTTTTAATACTAACATTTTTTTATCTCACAGAACAAACGGACCTAAATACAAACTTTCTTTTTCTTCAAACGATATTCTGTGCTTCATCCGAAGATATTAAATAAAGAGTGGAAATATGGTGTTAAGCAAAGGTGCTTGTGATGGGTTCATTGAAGTAAGTGTTTGAAGCAATTGCTGCGATGCACTAGGCGTGTAACTTGTAGGACATTGTTGCTGCATTGATGTAATGCCTTTCATCATTTTAGTACCATCATTATAGACCCGCAAATAAAAATCAGAAGACACATGAATTCCGTCTGCATCTAATGTCAAAAACCACTGATTCACTGGCACCATTGATTTGTCTTCAGCGGCTTTTGCGATGGCAGTTCCCTCGTCATATTCATCGAACATGGCAATCATGCAATTTTGAATACCTAATTTTCGTAAATTAAAGAATTGTGCCCAAAAGAATTTACCGGCCATTCGGGGAATTTGATTTCGAACACTTTGCGGTTCAGTATGCCAGTTTGACCATGAAAATCCCGGAAAAACAACTGTGGAGAAAACAACGGATAAAAAAAAGCGTGAATCAAGATTGGTTTCCGTAAATACTTTTTAAAACTAAATTATTTTCTAGATGAATCATTTTCTTACCGGGTTGATAGTCTTGTCCTCTAGCTTTAGTAACATTGAAATCACCGCTCAGAATATTTTGGTAAGCTAGAGCATTTTCAGGTGTAGTGTATGCGCCAACGTGCCATGGTTGCAGCATATGAAACACGGAATAAACCCTTTGAAATGTCGCCAATGAGTTTTGACCAGTGAATCTCCATGCCGAGGGAACTCCTCCGATGACATAAAATCCCATTGATTTTAACCAATTTATTAGATCGATGGCTGTATCTGGATTTGTTGGCCTACCTTCTCTGTGAAATTATAAGTTTGCGTTATTTTTTCCACATACTTGTGAATCCATTGTAATACCTATCATAGAAACCAAACCCCCATAAAGAAATGACGAGCTTTCCATTCTGACGCGCATAATATGGATGGTTGAAGACACCAATTCGTTGATTAAGATAATTTAGATCTGTCAAAAGATCGGTGCTATAGGTCTGATTATTCCAACCTGATATGTCCCATGCCACGTACCATTTACGTTGATAAGTTTGTGAGGCATTCATTACCTTTTGTATTACTCCGTCTTGTTGTCGAGCAATCACATCTGATGATCGGGCAAGACCAAAACGCTGGAATTAAATAATAAGGCAGTCATCATTTAAAACAAGCTACACACAACAGACACACAACCTAACCTCAATATGAGACGATTTGACATAAAATTCAGTTTATCCGAAGTCTCATTTATTTTTGGATAAATTTTAGTAAACAAGTGCACATGCTGAAGAGTTAGAACAACTTTCCAATGCTAATATTGATCAAGATATTGATACTCCTCTTGATAACATTATAACCGAGCAAAATGTTGTGGAATATGCACTAGAAAGTGCATCACCAGATGCTTCACAGAGCGGTGCACATGCCGAAGAGTTAGAACAACTTTCCAATGCTAATATATGATAAAGATATTGATACTCCTCTTGATAACAATATAACCGAACAAAATGTTGTGGAATATGCACTAGAAAGTGCACCACAGAGCGATGATATTGACGATTCAGACGACGATTGCATAATGTTAGGTAATGAAGTTCCACGTCCACTTGAATCAACAACAGATGAGCTTATAAAACATGAAGGGGATCCAATTTCAGACAACATTCCGTTTAATATAACGGTAAATATTGGCTAGAATATTAGTCCACAAATCCACATATTTTAATTTTAAGTTCTCTGATAATAATTTCTATATTCGGCTCTTTTATTAGAAACGTGGACGTGTGTACCAAATTCGAAATAAGTTTCGATATATTGAAAATGCTGGAACATTGGAATCTACCCAACGAGAATAATATAAACATTGATTGCAAATTTGCACTGACTGTTATACTATCAGTACTTTCGCATGAGAACATGGCATCAGGCGAATTTCAAAACGAAGCTCTCGGTTTTGTTACAGGTAAGATTGTATCTAGGATTGTATCTCATAAAATGTTGAGAATATATTTCTTGTACTCTTGTAATTAATATATTTGTATAAAAACTTTAGATTTGTTGCGAGTACGAACAAATAACGACGAACATAGAATTGAACAATGCAAACAACAGATTTTGGCATATCTAACAGAACGTCTACAAAAATAATGCCTAGAATAATGCTGCTCTGTAATCTAGTCTGTAATGGCTGTCTGACTTGGTCCATCTAGAAGCCCATCTTCCCACGAAATATTATTATATATGTATTTATAATTTTCCCAATGATTTTCAAGTTAGTTTTTAAGATCTTATAATGTTTGTGTTCACCAAAACCAAAAGATAAGTGATCTATGTGTGATATTTTTAATGAACTTATATATTCTAGCATCATTATATTTATAGTATCAAAAATTTGATAAAAGTAATAACTAGAGTAATAATATTCATTATAATCTAAATCTAGATCTAAATTGTATTTGACACGAAATTTTTAACAGAATCTAAAACAAAATTTAAGCAAGAATTCAACCGCAACAGATTTTACTGTGATCTTAATTTATCAAGAAGCCAGGTTGTGTTCATTTGTGAAAACCTAGGTGAAAACTTTTAATTTATTTTGAGAAATAATAAAGATATAGATAATTTTGCTTCTTATCACACAACAAAATTTGCGTAGAAATTTATTTTATTTGTCGAAACTTGAATACTTGATCTAGTACTTGATTCTAGACTTGATTTTCTTTATAAGAAAATGATAAC